TAAGTATCCACCATTTGCTTAATTTTAATTATTAAATACTTTTAAAATCCAAACCTTTTGATGTAGTTAGTAAAATCCAACAAAAAATTAGTAAAAGCATTCTCCTTTTAATTTTAAAATTATACTAAAAAAAGAGTATACAAATATATAAGTAAACTTTAAAAAGTGTAAACAACTTTTTAATAAATAATTCAGATAAAGTCAAAATTTACTAAAAAAATCACGTGAATCGTACATAAAAATAAATCTTTAAATTATCCAACATACAATTTTGCACCTTCTTTAGCAAGTTTATCTGCCTGATCGTTACAATAATCGCCTGAATGACCAGAGACCTTCTCAAATAAAACATGAATTTGCTTCTTAAGTTCATCAATGCGTTCAAGCAACTCTCTGTTTTTAACGTCGTTCCCTTCATAAGTCTTCCAATCATTTTGTTTCCATTTGCGAATCCATTCATTCATCTAATGTAAGAATAAACACAAAGGTAAGAATTTAAAAAATCTTACCCTTCCCTAAAACCTCTTTTCAAAATCTAAGGATTTTTTTTTTTTTTTTCTATAAAAAAGCCTGCCTAGTGTTAGGTCCCTTTCTACCAGAAAATATTTTTTAATTGGTTCGAATAATACTGCCAAAAAGGAACAACAAAAATGGCCGTACTGAAATCTCATCCAAAATTTAAACTTACTGATGAAATTATTAGCCGAGAATCTGTTCGTATTAAAAGACATGATAATCCCTCAGAAATTGCTTTTTCCATAGCAAAAATTATAGCAGTATATTCAGCAGCATTGTTCGTTGCACGGCCAGTAATAGGGGCAGAAATATTCCATTTATGATCATCACCCCAATAAACACCAATACCCGCCTAAAAATATATTTTTAAATAAAAAAACATTCAAAAAATATACTTTAGATCCAAAAGAGCCATTATTGCTACATGCCCCATCAGTATAAACAACGGGAAATCCATCTTTCATAATAAGACCCAATTCATTAATTTTATCCGACTCGCAAACTGGTAGATTTAATTTAGCTTTTGTTTTTGCAACTCTTTTTGCTTGTTTAAATTGTGGTATACTTGTAACTAATAAATAAAATAATTAATTGAAGAAATTGCAATAAAATTAGAGGCACTATAATGGGGTGTTTTTCGCAAATACGATTTTCCAGGCAATAATCAAGAGGATACTCGCTACCTGGCACTAAGGTTGTCGGATAGTATCCGGATCTGAACTGAAAATTTCGGATATCCGGCCTTTTATCGGATCCAACAATTCTATCCGGCACACTTGAAACAGATTTTTGTATCTTTGTGCGAAAATTTTGTTCGTTTGCAGTCACCTACAGCGAATAGCAGGCATAAGCGTGAAACAATATCTGGGCTTTAAAGCTATACAGTATTTTTGATAGCATTTAAGAATTATAATTTAAAAAAACCTCCGTTTTTCTCGATAAACTCCTTCGCTTCCTCCTCAGATTCAAACTTTTTAAAACTAGCATGAGGAAATTTAAAAACGTGCTTCGAACATTCAGACCATGTTTTATAAATACCGGTCTGCCAACCCCTTGCAACGGCGTAGAATTTTGACATTAAAAACTAAAAATTATTTTTAAAAAATTATGACACCAAAAATACTAAAAAAATATATTAAAATATTTAGAAAAGAAAACTTTTTTTGAATCTAATAATTTGTATATTTAAATTAAACAACAAAAAAAGATGTACATAAAACAATAAAATATAGCAAAAAACAAAACAAAAATCGTCTCATTTATTTTGAGCGTCTCTCACATTTTCCTTTCTTTTCGGCCTAAATATTAAAATTACTACATAATTAAATTCAAAAATATATATAATTATTGTAATAGATATTATCCTAATGCATATTATGAATTTTAAAAAAACATAAATTAACGGGCTTCTACTAGTTTTCCAGAAACTACCCCGAATCAGTTAAAAAGAAGGATTTAAAAATTCAAACCTATAATACATAGCCAACATAAATTTATAAAAATAACTAACCGAACAATAGTATCCAATTTCCTCAAAGTATAACCGGGTTGATGATCAAAAGCCCTACCTCTCTGGGTAGCTTTAATACCTTCAAAGCATTTTTGAGGCTGAACATTTTCAATTTTTGCGCCATTTAAATCAATCGCGAAATCGAGATTAATCGGATTTTCCAAAGCTTCGCGAACTTTCTCGTCAAGATTTTCTTTAGTGATAAAATTTTTGCTTTGCTCCTTAAATAAAATTTGTGAATTGAAATTTTTAAAAGCCCCTGGGTATGTGTAAAAATTGAGTTCAAACCGAATTTCAAAAATCAAAATAAAAAAACGTGAGTTTTAATTTTGGGCTTTGGTAGGATACAAAGATCTAATAAATAAAAAAATTTAAATAAACTTACAATTAACGACAAAATTTGTTCAGTTTTTATCGCAGCCTTTTCAGTTTCACGATCCAATCGACGTTCAATTTCCAAAAGAGTTTCTTCCTCAAGTCTTTCAATTACTTCTTTTTCGCGTTCTGCTCTTAAATATTTTTAATTAAAATATTTTCAAGTAAAAATTCTGCCATACCCCCCCCCCATCAAAAAACATTTAAATCTTTATTAAATTGTAAACCTTGCATCAGCCAAATCTTTATTCCTTTTTTCATTTTCTTCAATTAATCTGTCCAGCTCTTCATTTGCTTCTTTCTTTATTTGGATAGCATTGAAACCAGTAGGTGAGGCTTCATATTCTTCCCGAAAAAGTCGTCTCATTGAAAGTATTGCACTATTGTATACAATTCGACGCCAAAAAAGATCCTTAAATTTAACCTTTTTATAAAATTAAAAAAATTACTAGGAAAAAATAAAATCTTTTCCGTACCTCGCAAGATTATAAAACTTTTTAGTGAGTTTAAAAAATTTCAAAAATTTTATGCAATCTTTTTTAAAACTAACCGCAACGTCCTCAGGTGCTGTCCACTTAGCCTGTTTAACTTCATAAAGCTCCAATTTTGTTGGAATTTGCATTTGATCGTCACTAAATATTTTTGGTAATTAATTTTAATAAAAAGTAAAAATACAAATATTTTGGAGGACTTCTTTTAAGCTTTTTAGTATGTAGACAACGACAGGATAAAAAAGATGGCAACCGCAACAGTCGATTCATTTAAAACTTTCGTAGATTTAGACTAAAAAATATTTTTTAAAATATGCGTAGTAAATGAAGGAATAAATAAAGCACGGCGGGTCCACCCTGTTGACGCACGCGCGAAAACTAGCTAACTCTTTTCCTTAAACATAACGCCAAAATTTAAATTAAATATCTATGTACTCTCCACATTCTATTGCATCTCTCGTGCGTCTGACTTTATTGTAAACAAGAGAAAGGGTCAGAAGAAGAAGAGTTATAAAATGGTCAGATGCAGGAAAAATGGTCAATTCTCTCATTTGTGAGGGGTAGTAGTTAAATTTTATAACTTTTTATTCTCCCAACCGATTTTTTTCAAATTTTGTATTTTTGTATTACTAAAATAGTTAAACAATCCTACAAAGTTTGAGAAGCCAATATACATTTTTAACGAAGTTACGAATTTTTGAAAATTGGTAAATCTCGTCATATCCTAGGCCATAACTTTCTCCAAAGTTGTCCTTTTTCGCTAATTTTTGTTTTGTTCAATTCAGCGATGAAAAACGAACAAAATCTATATAGATCTTTCACAAGTTATATTGGCATACTCCTTAAGTTGACATACCGCTCACCTACTACCTATAACTAACGAACCCAGGCAACAGAATTTTTTCAAAATTTGCTAAATTGTAGCACTACGATTGATATACAATCTTGAAAAATTTTAGAGGAAAATTTTCATTTTGGGTGAAGTTATGAATTTTTTAAAACACAATTTTTCCGATTTTTAGGAGTCTGTATCTCAGTTCATAATTAAGATCGGTTTTTGATTTTGGTGTCATTCGACTCATCTCGACGAGCTCTTTCGAATGACATATAACACATATACTCGGGAATTGTCCATATTCGGAAGTATACTTTTCCGATATTCGGGAGTATTACTAATGAACCTAAGTGACGAGATTTCTTCAAAATTTTGCCGAATTATAATTTTAATAACTTGTAATACTATGATTAATCTAAATCTCTGCAAAATTTGAGCGGAAAGTATGCATTTTTTGCTAAGTTATGATTTTTTGAAAATCGATCAAAATTTATACATTTTTGGCCATAACTCAGCTTAAGTTGGCTTTATAACTTCAAATTTGGCAAGAATCGACGTATCTCGTCAAGATGCATCGGGTGGTACCAAAATCTCTGAAATAATCAGAAAATTTTAGAAAATTTTTATCGGAAAATTCAGAGAAATTAATTTTGCATTAACTCTGTGAATTTTGCATAAAAATTTCTGAAATTTTTTTTATAAAATTTTAAAACAATTATTTTTGAAATGGTTGGAACAGAATTTCAAAAATTTGGGATAGTTTTCGAGATATGGGATTTTAAAGTTTTAATAAAATTTGTCCTCGCAGTCGCAAAAAAAGAGTGCATAAAAGAAAGAGAGACAGTTAGAGAACGAAAGAAAGGAGAAATAGAGAACTAAGTAGTTTTCGCGCGTGCGTCAACGGGCTGATACTGCTGTGCTGCTGTGATAAAGCTTTTCTTTTTCCTAGTTTTTTTTAAAGAGGCAGAGAAAGGGTCAGAAGAGAAAAATGTTTAAAATGGTCAACCGTAAAAGAAAAAAAATTATTTGCCCACTCCGAAATTATTTTTACATAAAAAGATAATTGGTAGTGGTAAAAAATAATTAGGTAGTTAAAATACTCCAACATTTAACCCGCTCTTTTTATTAAAAAATATTTAAAAAAAATTTTATTTTCTAAAAATTAAACAAAAATTCGATGGAAATTAACAGAAAAATTTAATAATAAAGGCTGGGGTTCAATAAATTTTCTAAAAAGTCATCGAAAGACAATTAAAAATAAACAAAAATTTAATTAAAGATGATTGTTTTGAACATTAAATGGTTGTTCTTTATTTTCTTTCCAAGAAGAAGAACCGTCAGAATATAATTCCTTAAATTATTTTTAAAAGAGGAAATAAAATTTGATTAAATAATCTCAAATGCTTACAATTGCTAACTCGCTTAAAATGTTTTTGTTCAAATTTTTTATATTAAATTCCCAAAAAAAACCTTTTTCCAAATAGGAACTCTTTCTTTCAAAGAATTAATAAGCCATTCGGTTGCTTCAATTGCTGCTTTTCGTTGTGGAGAACTTGTAGCTATAAATACAGAAATCTCTCCTACTGGGACTTGACTGAAAATTGAAAAAAAAGAAATTTTAATTGTCAAAATAGAAAAGATAAATTTTTTGAAATTTATTCATCAACTTTTGAATTAAACAAAAAATCTCTCCAAACAAAAACAAACCCCAATCTGTGACAAATACAAATCCTTTCAATTGTTGGAATTTTATTTCTAACTTCTTTACATAATTTACTCATTTCAGAAAAGGCCATATCATTATAAGCTTCATATTCTAATTGCTTTACAATTTTATCTTCAAAAGTATCTCTCGTTGTACCTAAAAGAAATTAATTTTAAAAATCTTAAAGAGCAATTTACAAAATAAAAATATGTATCTGAGGAAATTATACTGATTTGTTAGGAATGATTGATTACTGGGGATGATTGGGGAAAAAAGAGAAATATATTCCAAAGACGATGGAAAATTTAAAAAACATTCCGATTGGACTATGAACCAGATGGGGGGGGGAGGGGGTTAGCCGAAACACGGACTTTTTTTCTATCTGAACCCCAACCAGACTTTTTTCTCAACCCGGCCAATCCCTGTAAGATCTTAGGAATTGGAAACCAAATTAAAATTAAAAAAATAAAAACCAATAAAAATAGAAGTAGCACCACAATTTGGAGAATTTACCCATTTTGTTGAATTATTAACATTAATTAAAGATGTAGTCAATTCAAGTTTGTCACAAATTAAATGAATAAATTCCAACACAATTTCATCCAAAGGAATTAAATTATTTGAACATTTAAATGCCACACGTTTATTAATTGTTTTTAATTTTATTTTTGTTTCGTTTAATGTTTGTTCCCATGCTGGCCAAACTATTTGTTCAAAATAACTAAAAATTAAAAAAAAATAAATTTGCGAGGTTTACAGAAAAAAATGATGGTAAAAAATATATTTGGGAAGTCAGGTTCCTCTCAATAAGAAAATTATGAACTAGCAGTTATGGATCATAGAAACGATTTAAAGAAATTCCCAGGAAAGGGAACATATACACTGATAAATCGAAGGAATTAGTAACTAGAAGATTGAAAGACAAGAAAAAAAGAATAATCAGAATAAATCTTTAAACCCCGAGTAAATAATGGAAATAGAGTGACGTCAATATAACAATCCTCTTACAAGAGTTTCTTCCTCATTTAGTTTTCTTCCGTCATTATTAGCGTGATGTTAAGAAAATTTTCCTTGTAAGGTAATATGCAGTCAACAAAGAGTGTGCTTAAACAGGGAAAATAAAGAAGTGTTGTCCTATTAGGAATTTTAGGTTAGTATAAAAGCACCTTAATAGTTTATGCATTAACCAACACTACAACTCACTGCACTTCGTGACGACAACGCTGTGCTCAATTCAACTAAAGGCCGCTTTTGGTTTGTCTCTGTGCTGCTCACTCTTGGTCTCGCGTCTCAGTACAATGGCCGGGAAACGAGGATGTACATATCTCATACAAGGGTTGTTTTCTAAACTAACTTTTTTTCTCTTTCAGCTAAGAAGTACATTCAAGAGCATGAGGCTACCATCGAGATCCGAGACTCGGACATGGGACTGACGTTCTTCAGTGGGAGCTCGCCGCCGCGGATACAGAAGATCGACCTCTTCTCCTACTTCTTTGGATGGCTGTTCATTGGAGACTGGATCGTGCAGATTGACAAACGTGTGAGTTTCTGCGATTATTAGGTTAATACTCTGTTTAAACGTCCATTTTTTTCAGGCCATAAACTCGGCAGAAGACTTCACGGGAGCAACTCAGCATTCTGGCGCTCAACCCAAATGTTTGCACATCCGTTTCCGCAGGGACGACTACTTCAGCATGGCCACACTCAAGGTCGCAGAAGTCAAGCGAAAGCCGAACTGCATTTCCGTCTTCATGCAGATCAGATGGCGAGAAGATCTCCCAGTTGGGATAGTTGTGGAGAGGAAGGTAATTGATTGAGTAATGAAGGCTTGTCATTAATAATAGCTTTCAATTCCAGGGAGCTAAAATCATGGTCGCGTCCGTTGAGTCAGGCAGTATAGCTGCGCAGAACATCTTTCCAGGCGACATGTTGGTTGACGTTAACGGCAAGGAAGTGAATAACGACGTCTCTGCAGCTAAAAAGGTGTTATTTTTACACGTAATTCTCTGATCAATTTTCAATCCTTTAATTTACAGGCTATTCGACAGAGTATCATTGAAAAGAAAAATGTGGTACTCAAGCTCGAACGGGATGTCACACCACTGAAGATGATCTCGACTCCAGCCGATGATGTGCTTGCCATACTTAAGCGCCAGAGGGGCTTCTGGAAGCGTCGGTCTAAGTTCGAGCCTATTGAAGAGGAAGAACCAGGGAAGCCGAAGAGAGGTACTCGAATAAGTGAAAAGGAGTCATTGGGTAATTCTTTAAATTTCAGTATATCATGTGCCCAACGTTGAGTCCGAGCCATTGCCAGTTGATGATACGGGAAAGAAACTGGTTGCAACACCGAGTCGGGATGGTGGGACGCGCACTGAAGAACCGGTGGAGACGGCCGAGGAGGAACCTGCCACAGAGGAGGAAGAATTCTAAAGAGATAAAAATGAACTGAATATAATATCTAAACTCATATTTTCCTTTGTTGTTATCTTGCATTCATTTATATGTTGTATATTTCCTAAATTTCCTTGTGTGTAATATGTACATATGTCTCATAATATATTCTATTAGATTTGTTGTAAATTTGTTTTGTACGTGTTTTTGTAATAAATTTGTAAAATATTTGCAATCTTCAATGTTTTCCTAATGGTCGGTTAGAGAAGGAAAGTTGGGTGAAAGACCGGCTCTATTCGAAAACAGTTCCGGCATTCAAATTTTCTTTCAAAGACCTTTTGACTTACGATGGTTACTTAACCACCTTATTCTACGGCTCAATAGTTAATTTTTCGGCTCTCGTTTTCGGTACCAATTTTTCTTTTAATTTTGACTTAAAAACGTCATAATACCTCAACAAAAATTTTAAAAAATTCCCAACCCTTTTTCATCTGGAGGATCATAAATTCTTCTACTTCTCCTTTCCTCACATATTTTTTTGTCGATAGTTAACAAAATAATTGCGTCAATTTCTTTTAAAATTTCCTCTAAATTTGTCACCATATTTCCTTCAACAATAACAACTTGATTTAAATCTTTTGCTTTTCTCACGGCTTTCAACATTTCTTCAGTCTTCAACTAAAAATTTAAAAGAATTATTAAAAAATTTTTTTTTGAAATTTACAGAATTAATTTGGTCATAATTATAAAAAAGAATTGAAGAATCCTGTAAATTTGTTAAAGTTGTAACTTCTTCCTTCTCTTTGTAAAAAATATCTTGATGAATAACTTGTGTAGAAATACCCTCATTTATCAGCTAAAAATTTAAAATCGTTATAATTTCTAAATATGTATCTAGCCGTTTAAAAATTTTGTTTTGGATCGCCAAAGTTTGGTAAAACAATAGAAAATATTAGGACAAATAATTGAGTACCGTCAAGGCATCCACAAAAGAATTTAAAAAAAAACCTTTTGACTCAATTCATTAGCTAAAGTAGTTTTTCCTGTACAAGTACTGCCTGTAATTCCCAAAACAACACTCTTTCCTGTTGTTAATTTAAGTTTCCCAAAAGCTTGTTTAAGCATTCAATAATTGGCAAAAATGAAAAAAATCTAGAAAAATTCTTCAAAATTTTTTAAGAATCTTTCGGCATTAATAGGCCGTTTCAGTACCAAGATTTCGGTAAAATAAGACTTTTCTCGTTATTTTATTAAATTTTTTAGCCATAATATCTTTTAATCTACACAGTAGATTGTGTGAAAATAAGGGGGGTTATATGTACATATGAAAGTAAAAGGAAATCTATTTTAATTCAGCGACAACAATTTTCTTTTCTTCTTCAGTTGCCAAATCTTTACTATATTTTTGTACATAAGAGCAAGTTGGATAAATTTTGTAATTATTATCAATACAATAACGAAATGCTCCCTAAAATTTTTTTGGAAATTAAAAGAAATTTTAATTTTACAAGAATTTACTTTAACTAAATCTTTAGCAATTCCTTTCCCTCCAAACTCTTTTGGAACTTCTGTATGATACAATTCTAAAATTTGATTAGGCAATTTTTTGTATTCAAGAATGGCTTGATTTTTGTCTGCTAATCGTATAAAGAAAAATAAATTTTTAATGTTGTGTTCAACAGTTCGAGAGGCCATTTTTTTAATTTTTTAAAAAGTATTTACGTTGTGGTAAATAAAATTATTAACAACGCCGCCCATTTAGACGCGCGTCTATTAAGGCGCGATAACCATTATTTCCAGTCGAGAGATACTACAAAATATTTAAAGACAAAAATATTAAAAATACGAAATACTCCCTAAAAAACATTCACAACATCAACATGAGTAAAAATTCAACATTTTATTGTTACACATTCTCTTATTTTTTATGCCATTCAAAACCCATTTTTACAAGTTTTGATGCTTGTCTGCCCTTCAACCCTACAAAAAACAATTTAAGCACCGCTAAAGCAGTGCAATTCCAAAATTTATTCAAGCCACTCAGATCTTAGAGGGCAAGAAACAACTAGTACCTTAATACTAGGGTTTATAACCAAAGAATTGGACAACAGTTTAAAAGAAATGAAAAATTGTTTAATAAATTTCAGACGTGATATAAAATAAAGAGAAATTATGAAAAATTGAATATAGAGCTGCATAATTCACACACACTTTCTTCTAATTAATTTCTCTACTTATAATATCATTCTTTAGCATCATTTTATAATGTCAAAATGTGATAAATTTTTCATAACATCAAAACGTTTTATTCCTCGAAATGGTCATAAGTACAGAATATTTAAAATTGTCATTCTTTAGTTTTTCCTTTTATTATAGTTGTTTTTCGTCTTTTTGTCTTAATTTATTGAAAAATAATTAAACAATTTAATTTATTTTTTAATTGTTAACAATTTAAATTAAATTAAACTTCTCTCAAAAATTTTGTTTTAATTTTTAACAAATTTATTCTTCATTGTTTATCCATTTTTCGCTTTTGTGTAAATCAAAAAAAGATTTGCAGGCAATTTTAATTCTAAAGTTTTTTTGCAAATTAAATAGTAGTTTATATAGGAAAAAGTGACGATAATTTGATGAAGAAAAAAATTTTTAAAGAAAGTTTTGGAGAAATTTTAGAAAAGAATTTTGTTAAAAGAATTTTTAATCTCTTTAAGTAATTAATTAAAAGAGAATCTTTGGATGAAGATTCTTTACAAAAAAAAAGAATTAAATTTTAATTTTTGCTTTTAAATTACAGAAAATACATTCACAAAAAGGTAAAATTACCGTAAATTACAATAATCCATTAAACTAAACAAAGTCATAATTACCCAAAACTAAATTATACTTATCTAACTCGCAGTAATTAATTACAAAAATAATATAAAAAGAAAATAAATTAATAAATTTTTTCCAAAATCTCTTTGTTAATTTCCTCTGTTTTTGCAACTACATTTCCACAAAAAATGTTATTGTTCGTCGAAGATTTCTTACATAAAGCTTAACAATTTACCTTTCCTTCAAATATTTAAACAAAAAGAAAATTCCCTTTAAAAATAAAAGAGAAACCCAAAAAATATTCCCCCTTTAATTAGCATTAATCTTTATACTAAATATTTTTCTTTTGTGTTTTTTAATAAAAATATGTTCTTGACTAATGACATTTTTTTATAAAAATCCTTTTGTTGTTTATGTGCCGATGAATAGTAAGTAGAAATTATGAAAAGAAAATTGTTGAGAGAAGCCCCTTCCCACCCCTCCTCCCCCCTATTCCCTTATATCTTTTTTATTAATTCTTAAATCCAAAAATTATATTTCCATTACATATTTTCAAATAAATAAATATTATTTAACTGATTTTTTGAATAAATAATTATTTTTCAAAAAAATGAAAATTAATAATAATTTCCAAAAAGAAAAATTAAATACAAAAAATAAATTAATACAACAAAATTTGTCTTTTGATGATTTAGATGGAATAGAGCCATCACTTCCAATAGATTGGTTAAAACCTAAGGTATTCTTTTAGAGTTTTTATAAGAAAATTTTGATCAGAGCAGCCCCAAGAATTTATCCCAAGAATTTGCATGGAATAAATTACCGAGACTGCCTTATATTGCTCCAAGAGTTTGCAATTTTTGACATTTAAAAAATTAAAAATGGACTATGATTATTTAAAAAACGGAGTCGGTGGTTATTTTTTGAAATAAACTGTTAATTATATTAATTATTATTAGAAGATTTCGAATAATTAGTAAGCGATTCTAAATTCCCCCCGCCCCCGTTTTTGTGTTTTGTCTCTTTACAGACAAAAGCTTTAAGGAAACAAAGAAAAAGTTTGTTATATCGAGAGTCGGCTCTATCTATATATGCACATGTTATTTTAATATTTTAAATAAAAATATCTATTTTTAAAGAAACAAAATGAAGAATTAAAAATCACAAAAAAGGCAAAAATTAATTCATTAAAAACAAATGGAGTTCGTCCCTGGTCTGCTTATGCATTGTTTTTTCGTCAAGTACAAACAGAAATACGTTCTCAATGTGGGAATATTTCTTTTGGAGAATTATCAAAAACAATAGCGAGTAAATGGGAAAGAATGGAGAAAAAAGAGAAAATGGTTTACACTGAACAATTAAAAGAATGTAGACGTCGATTGCTTCGAACAAAAGCTAAAGTTTATACTTTTCAATTAATCTTTGGAGAAGGAAATAATAAAAAGGAAACAACAGAGATTAAATAATTAAAATTAAATTATTTCTTTGATGCTTTAATTACAAATAAAGTTGAGTTGAGTGTGATTTTGACACGATAACAAAAATCGGATTAGCGTTCACAAAATTTTAGTCATGTTTGCGATCATGAGTAATCATAGCCTAAATTACATCCTAAAGATCTGATTTTTTGGATTTAATGTAATTCTTATTTATTTTTGACAAAATTTTTTTATTAATATTTTCTGATCCTTTATTTAAGATTAAAATTAAAACAAATAAAATCTTGGGTTAAGTAAAATAATGTTTTTCAAAAAAGCTTTATTGGTATGTGACTGTTTAGAAATTTTGGAACAAGTTATTTATATTAAATACATATGTACATAAGAGATTGAATATGTAAAATGTTTTTGAAGGGGGTTCCGCGAAAACCCCCCGATCCAAAAATTGATCTATCCAAATCCTTAATTGCAATGCCCTTTCGAAATATTTAAGTAAAATATTAAATATAATTATACATATTAAGTAGAATTTTATTTTTTTAAACCCAAATTGGACAAAATGACAATTTGGAATTATAGAATTTTTGAAATTTAATTTTTGTTGTTTTTTACAATATTTTAATATTTATTAAACTATTTTTTACAATTCTAATTTGTACATAAGTATTTAGAATTTTACCAAGAAAATAACCAAAACTGACAAAATTAACAAATTACTAATTAAGAGATCCAAAATTATATCTAAATATTTTTTAAATTTCGATACTTCTTTCCATTTTTATTTTCTTCTTCTTTTATTAACCCCCAAAAGTGAAGAAGCAAAATAATCAGTTAAAATTGAAGCAACAGATTCTACAGGTCTGTCTGGGTCTCTAACACGCGGAATTGAATTTAAAATGAATTTTTCAATAACACCGCCCTTATTTTGTACACCACGGAAAGCACGGTTTTCTCTTCCAGGAATCCAAGCGGGAGGTGGAGGTTTGGGTAATGGTGCACCTGAAAATAAATTTAAAATCAGAACAAGAATATAAATTATAAGGGAAAATAAAAGTACTATTATGGTTTAATTAATTTTTAAAAGAATTTTTAAATACTAATTCTTATCGAGGATTTTGGAGATTAATAGGCAAAAAAGGACAACATTTTTGAATTAAGGGCGAGGGGACACAGGAATTAAGAGGTATCGGGAAAAGATGTATGTAAGGTAAAAGAGAGAGATATTTTGAGAAACATTGATAGATTGGATTTTGAGGAAAAATTATATGTGTTTTAAGCTGATATAACGGGTTTAGTAGGTTAATGGGCTCCGATGGGGAATTAAAAGAAATAAATATTTCCCAATGTTTTATCCTGGATTAAAAGTTTTTTTTAATTTATTCTGGTTTTAAAAATAAAATAAAATTTTACCACTTCCAGTATCAGCAATATAACGTAAAGTAAAGGCCCCAACTTTAGCCCCTTGAGGATCAGAAATAACCAAAACCTCTGCTTGTTCAGAAATTACTTCAATTCCATGTTCATCACAACAAGCACGAAAACCAATTTGTTGGAAATCGGAATTATGTTTTATTTCAACAAAACCCTGACAAGTAGTGGAACAAGAATAGGAGACTGAATCGAGAATAAAACGAATTCTGTGATTTCCTTCTGTCTTTAAAAAATTAAAATTTTCTGTTTTTCTTTTATTTTCCCCTTTTACCTTAATTTTCCAATTACATTTTTTGGCCCCTCTATGTGTTAAATGTTGCCATATCCCTATATTTGCTAATAATTCACCTCCACAAAAAGGATCTAAAATTTAAAATTTTTTCTAAATTAAATTTCAAATTTAATTTAAAATACCTTCACTCGGCTCTACCGATGCACAATTAGGTCCGCCCAATCCTGGGGGGCATTTACATCTATCACAATTATTTGTATCAGCATAACCTCCATTTAAACAGATAACTGAAGTGCCTTGACACATATCTAAAAACTTTTTAATTCTGAAAAAAGTTCTGATTTTTCAGAACTTTTTTAAAATTAAAAAAAAATTCTGAAAAATCTTACGATGACAATAAAGCCTATTTATTTGTTTAACATCAATGAAGGAAGGCCCTAAACGTTGTCCAATACTTCTTTGATATTTTGAGTCTTTCGTTATAATTGTAATTTGATCCCAGTCTATTGTAAAAGCATTGGGGCCATAATGCATTACAGAACTTTTGAAAAATCAGAATTTATTTCTCAGGCAACCCCCTACCCCAAATCATAAGGCAATCCCATTCCATCCGCTTCAAGATCACTCCTTTTGGCAAAATTTCCTTCAGTTCCGCCCATTATATAACGTTCCTCAAGTCGAATATATTGGTCTCTAAAAACAATTTTCTAAATTTATTTAGAAAAATATTATGCCTGTCTGGCCGAGATTGTTCATGCCAAAACCCAAGAGCATGCCCAACCTCATGGGATACGATTCCTTTCTTTAAAAATAAATTATAAATAAAATCAGAATAAAATTCTGAAGAGAGACGTTATAGGTAATTTATTCTTACATCATCACATCCATGCCCAATAGATATTTTTTGAGTTCCTCCAGTCCTTCCCACACTTGAATAACAACTATACCTTTAATTGTATTTTAATAATTTTTTTCAAAGTTTTACCCGCTTCCCCGAATAAATTCAATTTTATCTTTAGCAAAACTACTTCCTCTATTCTCTTTAAATCGTAAACATGTCTCTTCCTCCCACAATCTTAGACCATCTTGAATTAATCTGTGCCAATCTTCTAATTAATTTTTAAAAATATTTTTAACTTTTAAAAGAAACAAACTGTCTGACTCTCGGAAAGTGTAACTGAAAATTAAAAAATAAATGCTAAGTTTAAATCATAATTTTTACAGAACAATTATTAAAAATCAGAATTTATAATAATGTAAGAGAGAGGTAAAAGTTTAACCCCGGGCAGCATTTATCATGCAATCTCATAACCGCTTCGCTCACAAAGTAGTAAGATTTTAAATTAGAGACGGGACTGGAAGTGTCATACGAGATTTTCGATCGAGATCTCGTCTCGATCCTGTCTCTATTTTAAATGATAACCAGTTGAATCCCCTTTTTTCCTTACATTAAATAAACTCTGTTAAGAATTTTAAATTCATTTACGGTATTGGTTGTCCTTTAGGCCATCTATAAGCTGACCCAGTAATCACTTTTCTCTTTTTCCTTCGTCTTCCTTTACGTTCTGCTTCAGCCAACACAATTCTTTAAAAAATAAAAATTAATCCAAAAATTCATTTTTCTCTAACGCTTTTGCTTGTCGAGCAGTTAAAAGAATATCACTTTCAAAAAGTTGATCCATTAAAGGCCGATTTCTTCCCAATTCTGTCCCATCATTTAACGCTGGCATCGGTCTAAGAGGCTAATATATATTTACGTTTTTTGGTTAATATTAAATATTTTATTACTTTTTTTGAATTTTTAGTCATTATTTTAAGAAATGAACGCATTAATTTATTTGCCTCAGCAAAATCTTTAGCAACTTCTACTGAATTTCCAGGTATTAAAGGGGGATCTCTTTCTCCCGAAGCTGAAGATGGTGGAAAAGTTGAGAATAATGTTGGGGGTGTTGTTGGTGGTGGAAATAATGTTGGGAGTGGTGGAGGGGGTGGAAGTGTAGGGAATGTTGGAAGCCAAGGAAAGAGTTGTTGTAATGAAGGGGTTGTTGAGGAAATAGGTAATGAAGCTGGAGGTGTTAAATGGGCGGGAGTTGATTGACCAGGCATATTTGCATATTCATAAAGTTCATCGAGCATCTGTGGGGGAAAATGGAAATTTTTAACGCATTATTTTTAATTGAATGTCCGGGCATTCTATTTTTCAATCATCCTCCAAACTATTAGAGTTAATACAGTGAAATGAAAATTTCTTAAGTTAAGGAAGAAGTAAAAATTTTTATTTCTTGTAAGATTTTCCAAAATTTTAAATATTTTAGGCGAGGGTTCTTAAAAGTTTGTTGGTCAAAATTTAAAAGAAATTTAATTTAAAAATTATAAATGTTGCTATAATACGGTAATCCGAATTAATTGAAAAGAATAAAAGATAACTAGAAAAGAAGAGAAAAGTTAGAGAAAAAGAGAAATAATAAGAAAATAAATTTTTCACGTTTTCATTCTTTTTTTCTACAAATTTTTTATTTTTACACATTTTAAAGAATTTTATTTTATTTTCAGATAACCTTGTTGTTTTTATTTAATAAAAATATTCTAGACAATAAAAATGGATGACAGAGATTTCGGTTAATTTATGGTTTAAATTAATTTTTTTGTTAAATTTTTAATAGATGTTGACTTGCCCGATGAAGTAATTTATTTTCTGCGTTATTTTAAAGAAATGATTGAAGAACAGAGTGTGACAGAAATTTTGGGATTATATGAACACGGATTTACAGAATTGACTGAAAAATTTTTTAGCGAGAAAATGTGGCCGGAAGACAAAATTGTTGAGAAAATTGTTGGGGCAGGTTAGTTTTTGAAAGGGGGATTTTTGGGAAGTTTATTTACTTTTAGATAATGACCTGTTTATTATTCTCTATAAAGAACTTTATTATCGAGATTTATATACAAGAATGCAGAGAGGCCCTTCGCTTATTCATCGTTATGAAAGTTATATGAATTATTCTAAACTTTTTTCTGAAATTTTGAGAACTAAGGAGGTTAATGATAAAACTGTGCCTAATGAGCCTGTAGCTTTGCAATTGGTTTGTTTTTTTAATTTGGGATTTTTCTTTGATTATATTAAAGAATTATTTACATTAACCGCAAGGGAATGTATGGGTGAAATTAATGGAATTTGGTTCGCCTTAAATTCACTGGTACCAGAATAGGGCGGTTGAGAAAAGAGTCAGACCGCCTTCGGATCTAATTCCTTGTCAAAAAAATTCGAATTCCGAATTTTGTCTTTGATTTACACCTCAAAATCCCCCTTTCTTTCAAAAAAAATTTTTTGACACCTTTTATACTTTGAATTAAGAGGATTCAAAATTAATATATTACTTTTTTAAGCCGAATATTTGGCTTTGGGACATTATTGATGAATTTGTTTACCAATTTCAAGCATTTTGCCTTTACAAAGCAAATCCATCGAAACGTAGTGCTGAAGAAATTGAAGATTTGATTGAATTGGAACAAACACAAAATGTTTTTTTTCAATTTTTAAAAAAGTTTTAAATCTTTTTTAGGCTTGGAATATTTACCCAGTTTTGAATATTCTCTATTCTTTACTTACAAAGTCTCAAATTAATGAACAGTTAAAGGCTATCCGTGAAGGAGGTTTGGAAATTAAAGTTTTTTTATTTAAAGCCCGCGTTTTCCATTTAAATCGATTTAAAAATTGGAAAGGTTTTACACATACATAACACGCTTAAAACGAGTAAATTTTGCAAAAAAATTCTTTTCGTATTCCTACTCTAGACTATCAGAAGTTCTAGACATTTTCTCAGTCACCTAAATTTCATTTATTTATCCCATCACTAACATGAGAATCTAAACTTTAATCTCTTTCCAGAATTTAAATTAATACTTAATAACTCTAAAAATATTTTTCAAGGCAATCCTGATGATGTTGCTGACGAGTTTGGTCGAAGTGATCTTTACTTCAAATTGGGATATTTTTCTTTAATTGGTTTACTTTAAATAATTTTAAAAAAGATTCCTAAAAATTAAGGTCTTCTACGTACTCATGTTCTTTTGGGTGATTATCACCAAGCACTCCAAACTGTCGAATATTTGGATATGGATCCAAAGGTTTTTTTAAATTTTAATTACTACATATAATCTTTTAAATCTAAATTTTAGGGTCTTCATAATCAAGTCCCTTCTTGTCTTGTTACTCTTCATTATTTTGTTGGGTTTTCTCATATGGTTAGTTTTCAAAAATAAATATTAATAGTATTTGTTAAAATATCTAAATACCACGTTTAAATTAAAACATTTTTATCTTTTTCGACAGAAATTTAAAATAAAATACTTATAGGTTAGTCTTGAGAAATAAAATTTAAAGCACACTCTATATCTTAATTGAGAGATTCAGTTTAAAAATATTTTTTAGATGATGCGTAATTATGCGGAGGCAACTAAAATTTTTATCAATTGTCTTCTATATATTCAACGTACACAAAATATGCAACAACAACAGCAACAACAAAACCAACAAAGAAATAAAGCTGGGAAGTATGATGTGGTTGGTAGTTTTTGAATGTTTTTTTGAAAAATTCTGTAAAGTTTTGTTGAAATTGTTTTTGGATCCAGAAAAATGAGAATATGAATCTATATTTACGATTTTTTTGGAACCGGACCGAAAAATAGAGCTTCCTTTCTCTATGCGGATTTATGTATTATATGCATATTTCTATCCTTATTCCTTATATGAGAATAAAGTCAAAAAGTTATTTCTTTATAGGAAAGGATAAACAAGAAACCCTATTTAATTAACAAACAATTTAAGCTTCCTTTTCAAGTATCCCCTAATTTTAAGATTGGAAAAACAAACGAGCAACTTTATCATTTGCTTACAATTTGTTTAACACTCCAACCACAACGTATTGATGATTCTATTCAGACACAATTGCAGGATAAATTTAGTGAGAGAATGTTTAGAATGGCTAATGGGTTTGTTGATAATTTTAAATTGTTGAAAATTTGAGAGAAAAAAAATTTTAAAAATAAGACAATCAACTTTTTAAAAAGTCCTTAGTCCTATAAAAACATTTTTTAGTGATATTGATGAATTTCGTTCAGCTTTTCAACAAGGTTGCCCAAAATTTTTGTCCCCAACAACTGTGGTCTATGAAGGAGCTAATATTGCTAAAGTAAAAATTTAATAATTTTTCGATTAACTTCTTATTTTTAGGAACCTCTAATTCGTCAATGCGCCGCATTTTTGGAAGGCATAGAAAGTCAAATTAGTTTACCTATTTTGCGTGGTTATTTAAAACTGTTTGTTTTTATTTTTAAAAATTAAGAATTTTCTTGGGGGGATTTTAAAAAATTTTAATAAACAAAATTCATCTCAATATTTATTTTCCTTCTAATAATTTAATATCTTTGAACTTTAAGAGAAAATCTAAGATTATTTTGAATAAATTCCTTGATCTTTTGATTTAAACACCAATTAACAAAATTTCTTTTCACAGTTATACAACTCTTCCAATTCAAAAATTGGCTAGTTTTATGGATGTTCCAGAACACGAAATGGATACATTTACTAGTAAATTGTTGACATATAAAATGATTGTAGCTGAATTGGGTAAAGAGACTATCGATAGAAATGATACAACAAATGATGATTTTACTGATTTGGACTTTTATGTGGACAAGGTAAGTAAAAAAGGAGTTTTTTAAAAAAATATTTTGGGGAATTCAGGTTGTAGTTAAAATACGAGGCCTTCTTAAAACTTTAACTATAGTTGAGGTCTCATTTAAGCCAAATGTACAGATTAAGAAAGAGCCAAAATTTAAGCCTTGGAAATATATAGACCCTGCGACCTTCTAAAAGTTATTGCTAAATACCTAAACACCTGCCTAGTAAACGTTTTAAATGCTAGCCAGCTGAATCTCTCACTTTCTAAAAGTTATCTGCTTTTGTCTAGCTCTTTTATGATTTTGATGACACGTTGAATGTCTTTAACTATTTTTTACATAGTTTATATTCTTAAATATTTTTCAAGGATATGATTATGATTGCCGATACAAAAGTTGCGCGCCGCGTTGGAGAATACTTTATTAAGCAAATTATTAATCTTCAAAAGGTGGGAATTTTTTAAAATATTCTAAAAAACAAAATATTCTTCCTCCTTCTTCCCCTCTTTCTATTACTTTAAACTTTCTTTTAATTTTTTTATTGGTTCTCTATTCAAAATTCCTTTCTTAAAATCTTCTTGTTTTTTTAATCTTTCATATTTTTCTGCTCTTTTTTAAGCGTAGACTCGCAATTAATGACAAAAACAAGGAAAGTTGGTGGTTATCGAAAACCAAATCAAAAATCAATTCTCGAATATTTAAACAATGGCCGGAAATTAAAATTGAAGAAGTTTTGCCATCCAAATTAGTAGAAAATGATGAAGCGGTTAAAACTATTAGCGATAAATGTTTGTGGGGACGTTTACTTAAAGAGTTGCCAGAGGGAACGCCTGTTTAATGAATAGTTTTTTGATGAAAGTTTAATTATATTACGAGAGATTTAATGATTATGAAAGTTATTTTTTCGCTATTTTCTTTTAATATTGTCTTGTAATCAGTGTTTTTGTCGCGGAACATAAATTTATATTTGTAGTGAAACGGATTTGCATACTACCCTTATTATTTCATTTAACTTTGCATTTAAAAATTGAATTGTCCTCGTCTCAAACATTATCTTAAAACAATTTATATTTTCTACATATTTATTGCGTAAATCCCAAAATTATAGATTTGAACGTGTTTTGAAGTTTTTACTAATATCAGACCTTTATCTTTTTTAACAAAAATTTCTTTATCCTTAAATTAAATATCTTGTAAATTTCATATTAAGTTTATTTTACTCTTTCACTATTCACTTTATCAATTTCTCTTTCATTAAAAATAAAATATTTATGTTTTCTTACTGACCCTATAATTACAGATAAGACAGAAAGTCAAGACAATCGGGCATGTAACTACTACGGCAGTGAAGAATTGAGGAGTTTCTTATTCCATTAATTGTTAAATAACTAAAATTCGATTAACCAGTATAACTAATTTTGGAGTAATTCCAGTTTTGTTACTTGTTTTCTAATGAATAAAGCTATGTGATTCTTGTTGTCTTTCTATCAAGATCCATTTGAAGTCTCAGGAATGTTTCCTTATAAAAGCCCAAGTTTTACCCTTAATTCAAGTCGCTCTTCATCGTCCTGTAAAACCGCACATCAGAAACAATGCTTCAATTCTTCCTGGCCACTTTGCTCAGCGCTGTCTTCGACGTCGAGTCACTGCCAATTGGAGATGGACTAATTCGCATCAAACGTTATGCAAGGTAACGTTATATTTTAGAAGTAACGGAAAAACGTTTTTGTCTTTACAGGATTGAGTCCGGTCCGGATGGATGGCTAGTGTTCAACATTGGGGCTTGGAATGTTCTTTTCTGTGTGGTTTGGTTCTATTTGGGCATGTAAGCCTTAATAAAGAGATTTAAATTTTTGAATTTTTCCTCACAGATCTATCCTCATTTATTGCACAACTCGATGCTACATTTCTTGCTGTAGTCTACTTGCTACTGCTGCGGAACGTAGTGCGGCGAAACATGATGAAAAGGTGAGAGAATTTTTCTTCTAAATTTCTCAAAAAATATTCAAATTTTAGGACAAGTCCGACTCAGAAGTTGTCCATTCCATCACGATCAATGTTAGGCGTTCTGGATCGGAACATACTCAAGCATCGTCCAAATCAGAAAAGTCAATTCCAACAGCGCTGGAGACAAAGGACAAAGTAATTCTTGTTCCACAAATTCGTCAAAAGCTATTCACTTGCCGTGAGATGAGTCGCCGAACTGTTAGAGAGGCTACAGACTCCAAGAGGAAATTCAAGCCAATGAAAACTGCAGTAAGCGGTAGAGGGATGCGGGCGGCAACGAACACTGCAGTCGGCCACTCCAAAAGAGGCGGCAAAAAGCCGAGTCTGCATGCCGATTCTGCAAGGTCGACGCGTTCAGGAACAAGTAAAAGAATTGAAATTCTTATTTAAATCCTCATTATTCTTTAATTTCAGTCAGTGGCTCTTCCAATGTTTCGACGCCTTCGTCTAGCAGCAGCAGTAGTAGCAGCAGCTCTTCACCGGCTTCGGAGTCTTACTCTATCTCTGAAGTATCCTATGGCCGCTCAAAGCGCTCATCTCGTTCTGGAAGGTCTGAAAGGAGTAAGCGGAGTAAACGATCGTCCCGTGGTTCTAAACGTTCGCTACGTGGTTCTAAACGTTCGTCCCGTGGAGGCCGTTCCAAACGGAAGAGTTCAAAACGTTCTGGCCGATCTCGCAAATAAATTCCGGATAAAGAATGGGGAATAATGTATGGAATAGAGAGCATGAGTTTTATATTCTGAAAACTTTCCGGAAAATATATAATACTTCTGATATTCTATTGTCTCTACCTCCAAAATAGCCCCAATAACCATAAAATACTTGTTAAAAATCATTATTTGTATTCCCCTAAATATATTCTATTGTTGTTGTATATCTTGTTGTGTTAATATAAAATATTGTTTGTTGGTATAATTATTTTTTGCTAATAAAATAATATTTTTTTTATTATTAATCATTTTAATTTTTGTTTTCTATTAAATTTCCGGTTTCTAAATTTGGTCTTTAAATGGTTTTCTAAGAAAATTAGTTTAAATTCAACTTAATCCTTTAAAATATTTTAGGAAATTTTATGTCTAATAGATTTATTTCTTTTAATTAATTCCTTTCGTGAACCAAATGCATTTGCAAAAAATATTCTTTAATGTTGCCACTTTGGATTAATTTTTATTTTTTTAAATTAGTTAAGCTCATATTTTGAATTTAAATTTAGATTTTTAATAAATCTCCGAAATTATTAAAAATTACAATTTCTAAATTAAATATTTTTAAAAGACCAATAAAAACCACTAAATGTCTATATTTAAATTTAGCTGTTTAAATCTCCATATTTCCTTAAAGCAACAAACATAAAAATCCGCAAAAAAACATTTTATAAATGCTTAATTATTAAAATAAATAAACATTTATGTGTTTCTATTTTCCAAAAACACGTAAATTTTCCTTACAATTTTCTAATCTTCACACTTCAATACATAATTTCATTCTAGAATTCTGTAGCCACCCTCCCTCCCCCTCCTTCCCCAACACTCAACACACTTTAAAATTCCCTTCACGGAAAGTATCAGGAAATCCTTTCTCATATCAGAATAATTTAAATAAAATAATAAACAGAGTTTAACAGTAAAAATATTCGTCAAAAAATGCAAAAAATATTTTTTTGTGCTGCTCATCTTTTGTTTTTTTATGTAAATTAAAGAAAAAAGCTAAAAGTTTAATAAGTCTACTAATAATAATATTATTTTCTGTTTATTTATTTAATTTTTTTATTATCCCCAAAAGGAAATTATATAATAATAATTAAGCATAATATACGTAAGAATATTTAAGTGTTTATTATTTTTTATATAAAAAATATCCGTTAGCTATATTTATATAGATAGCCCTTTTAAATATGTCCACCCACTCAATTCCAAATAAAACTTTTATCTCATTATTTACTTTATCTCCCTCTCTCTCAAAAACTTTAAATTAATAAATTAGAAACATTAAAACTTGAAAATAAACTTGAATAAAAATTCAGAATTAATTTAAAAAGGAAGTTAAGCTAACTTAAATGTGAAAAACAGAATTTTGTATCAGAAAATAAACTTGATTACCTTAAATAATTCTATTAAAATTACGTACTTTTCTTAATTAAATAATAAAAAGTACTGCAATTAATCCCTACTTTAATTCCTACTACATTTAATAAAGGTGATTCTTTTTATTAAATAATAAAAAGTTCTTTTTAGGGAGAAACCCTAGAAAATAATCTCTGTACAAGATTAAGATTAGAATAATGACAAATGATGTTATAAATAATGATGAAATGAGAATTAAAGTACACGAGAGTTAGTTAATTTGAAGGATTTAAAAGAAAAAATTCAAAAATCATTGTTAAAATATTTTCCTAAATTAAAAAATAAATTTTTAAAGAAAATTTTAGTTTTAGAAAGTTTAAAAAATGTTATTAAAATCTTCAATTTATTTATTAATTATTTTAATTCAATTTACATCATCAACATTAAATACACAACAAAAAGAATATCAGAAAAAAGAACAACAAGTTTTGCTTAACCCAGTTATACGCTCATTAATTAGACAAAGGCTAAACAAGTTGAAGAAGGAGGCTATTCTTTTGGGGTAAATAAAAATATTTTGAAATTCTGATTTAAAAAAATAAATCAGAAATAAAACTTGAAGAGCAAAACAGAAAAATCAGAATTTTAAAATAAAAATTAAAACCAGAATTTCTTTTATAGGCAAAGAAACGAGCAACAAAATATAAATAATTCTGATTTACAACAAGTTGTAAAAACAGAAAGTAATATGCAGTATATACCCCTAAATTGTTTCTTTTCTCCAGTAACTTGTCGTTTGCCAATTATTGGAGTAAAAAGAAAACAAAGACGACAAAATTTAATAAATAAACAACAAAAAAATATTAAAAATGAAAATAAAATGGAAGAAAGAGAAGAGGAACCAAAAGTTGGAAGATATTTTTTGGCATTAACTTATTTTTCGTCTCCACAAAAATTTTTAACGAGAGAAGATAATTTATAAATAAATAAATTTTAAATTATATAAATAATTTTTTTTTAATTTACATACAAGCAAATTTTAAATGGAAAAAAATATTTTAAAATTATAAGTAATTTAAAAAGTGAAATCTCAAATTTATTATTTTTTAGTCTTTTATGTTCAGGGAATTGTATTTCTCGAAATAATCAAAAAATAATAATTTTTCACTATAACTAAGTAGATACTCTCTAAAATATCTAAACAAAATCTCACTACTTTAGGTATTCTTTACTCATTTTATATCTCTTTCACTTAAACCCTGGGTATATGTTCCCTCATGTAGTATTTACCCACCTGAAAAAAATTTCTTCCAAAATTGTCAGTTATTCTTCCAATAGAAGTACTTGCTTGAGGCGATCTATAAATATGTTGTCTATTTATTGGAGGTGAATGTTGATAATCTTTTTGTTGTTTTTGTCGTTGTTGACGTTTTTCTGTTGCTCTATGGGCTATATCTTCGAATAAATTAAAAATATTTGGAATTTGGGGAGGAGATTGTCTTCTTTTCCTTTTTTTGTTATTTAAAGCTGAACCTAAACCAAAACTTTTTCCAAAATTTAAATATTCTGATGTTTGGGAGGATGATGATTCTCCACCTCCAGAATTACTAAATGCTGATAGTATTGTCTAAATAAATAAATATATTTGAGAAACCTTAGAAATAATATTAATTGGATTATTAGTTTCTTCTAAATTCTGGGAAAATAGTCAAAATAGATACAAATTTGATAGGAAAGTTAGAAGTGAATATTGAACTAGTTAATTTATTAAATCTTCATTAATATGTATTCCTTACACCGTAATGGTAAAGACAACAACTTTTAAAAAATTATTTAAAATATTTCATTCATGAATATAGGAAATGGGTTTTATCTTGACTTTTTTCGGGTTTAGTGGTAGAAAAAACTATTTGTGGTTCCCGTCAGGGTAAAAAATCCAAAAGAAATATAAAAAATTTTTTAGAAATATTTAAAAATATCAGGTACCACTTTAAAAATAAATTTAGGTCTATAAAATCTTTACTTGTGCTGAATTAGCCAATTGCTGCAATCTCTGTCCTTTATCATTATTTTGTTGATTATTTTCATTATTTTTAAAAGCAGAACGAACATTTTCAAACATTTCAACAAATTGTCCAATACCTCCAAATGCCCCTCCTCCATCATTATTTGGCGGTTGATCTTTGTTTTGTTGAAAAAAAGGTTGGGATTGTGATTGTTGTTGTTGATTACCAAGAAAGGGTTGTATAAATGAGAGAAAATTTTGTTGAGCCTTGAGAGAAGAAAAATATATTTAAAAAATTAAATTTATTTATTTTAAGACAATCACGGGTACCCAAATTTGTACACTAATTTGAGTTCAATAAAAAAAACAAATGGTCTTTCAAAAAAAGATATCCATTTTCTACATATGACCAGCGACTAATCGAGTTTTGTCAACAAAAAACTCAACAAAATCTATATTATGGCAATTTAAACTTGTACAAGCTTAGGGGTAGTTATTTTACATTATTTTTCACATTTTCAGAAATTATTTTGTTTAATCGAGAAGTCTTTTGAGTGAAATTTAGATAATAAGATATTGTTTTGTAATGAAAGTGATAGAAAAAATAGGAGAATTAAAGGGAAAATTTAATTTAACAAAAAATAATTTTTAAAATCCAAACTTTTGTTTTTGTAGGAAAGAGAATCATCAACAAGATTAAAAAATATTGATAATAAAATAAAAATTGAGCAAATTTCAAATTAATTTTATTTAAATTTTTAATTATCATTGTTGTTGTTGTTAATCTTTTCCTTCTAACATACTAATTTCTTTTGGAATAATGAAGAAAGGAGAGAAATAACTAAAAAAATGGAAGAGGCCAAAAATCTGAGAGAATTGCTATTTTTGTGTTTATCTTTTTGCGCGATGTTTTTGCATTTAATTTTTCTCATTTTTTCGGGTTTTTCTATTTTTTTTACAATAAGGTCAAGGCAAATAAAGTAATAATAAAAGGTAATGGACAATACATACAAGGCCATTTCTTTTTTTATTTTTTAATGCGTCATTTTAATCCCTTAGAAAATCAACAAAAGAGGGGATGTTTTTGTTGTTTTGAAGCAAAAAATAAATAAAAAAAGGCAGTTTAGGTAGATAAAAAGAAATAAAGGAGAGAAGATGATGGAGGCCACCTCTGTCCGGCAGTCATTGCAACTTATTGAGATTTTTGTGAACAGCTTATTATAAGAGACAATTGAGTATCAAAAATTGATTTTTAAAATAGCTTTTTGGATGTGGACGATTACGGAATGATGAACGGATCGAATATAACTTTAGATTTTTGTGTCGATATATCAGAGTGCACCGTTTAGCCTTCATCGGATAATTCACAAATTGTGGAACTACCAAAAACATTCACCGCACATCATTTATCTCTACCTTTAAACCTAGACTCAAAAATTGTCTTAATCGTAGAGTTGCGCACCTTCGGATCAATATCCTTTTTAAACAAAAACAACTAGAAAATAAATTATAAGCTTTTTCCCATTTGTTAAACAGGTTTTGGATTATCCTTCTTCTTCTTTTTTAATGGCCTTCTAAATGTCCTTCAAATTCTTTATTTCTCTTTAGAAGAGTTGAAGCAGCTCTAAAGGCTATAAAGTTATTTTTTATTTATATGTATGTGGCTGTTTGTAAATAAGGGATATTGATCAATAAATATTAAGAAAAGATTTAGTAGATGAAAAAATGACTGGAAGTGATACAGAGTTGAAAGTTAACAGAAAAATGTCTGAATAAAATCTTTAGAATCTCATTAATCCGAACTGCGCAAAACCGCCGTAATTATCACAATTATAATTTATAGTTTTTTTTTGCATTTTTTGAAGTATTCGTTACCATGTTGAGTATGCTCTGTCCCTACTTTCTGTTTATCGTCGAATTGTTATAAAAAATTAGGGTTGTCTTTGTGCAAAAACATGCAAATGCATATGCCTTGATAAGAGATGTATATATTTTTTCTTTTCCGGTGCATACCTAGTGATAATAAATATTAGGGACACGCCCAAGTAGGCGCGCGGCCAGGTAGGCGCAAAGCCATAACTACTTGGAAAATTTCTGGACCTTAATATTTTTGGTACCATTCTCTTTAGCTCGATGAGAGGAATCGTTTAATACTAAATTTTGAAAGATTTGGAAATTTTGAAGCAAGTTATGGCTTTGCGCCTACTTGGCCGCGCGCCTACTTGGGCTGTACCCTAAATATTAACATTCGTTTTATTTTTGTACTAAGTAAAATAAAATGTTTTTCTATTTCGTTCAAGTACAGTAATTTATTTTGAATTTAAATATTTAGTTTCCGCTAATTGGCAGTTATTTTTACATTGGCATTCTGCATTTTATTTTTTATTTGCCCTACTTCGGAACGTCCCACATCAGTCCCGCCATTTCAGTCCCGCCGTTTCAGTCCCGCCATTTCAGTCCTGCCATTTCAGTCCCGTGCCATTTCAGTCCCAGCCGTTTCAGTCCCGCCGTTTCAGTCCCCCTTATATGGGGACATTTCAGTCCACAATGATTTTTATTGTTGTACCATTGATTGTTATTGTTTATTTTTTTGTTTTAAACATTTTCTAAGTTCTTTAAGTGGTCTACCACAACAATCAGCAATAACCAACAACAATTAGAACGAAAAAAATAATTTTTATGGAAAATCAAAAATTTTTTTAATTTTTTAAAATTCTTAAATTTCTTCAATTTTCTTTAAAATGTGAGAATTCTACGCTAAATGGAGATGTTTCTACTACTGACACATGGTTTATTTTTCAGTTTTTTTTTAGCTTTTTGAAATTTTTTTATTTTCCCCATTTCAAAGGGGAGCTATAGCATATTTTTAGGCGAGCATATATTTTTAAATTTTTTAATTTAAGGCAATCCGGTCCTGGAATTGTTTTATGTATGTCGAGCAGATTGCTGCTGAGGTGATTCTGCTGACGGATTTGCTAAGACATATCAGGCACACCCTTCAACAACCTAACCCAAACGGCCCTCTTTAGAGCCACAAATCTAATAAGTGAAACGAGGCAATGACTTCTATTTATTTTTTTTTGATAAATTTTTGTTTATTTGACTCATTTTTAAAAAAATTTTGTTCCCTGTAGAAAAAAAGTCGAGACCAAAACTTCACCCTAAGCCAGAAAAACCCCAAGAAAAGCCTAGAATTAAGACTCATCTAGCTTTTAAGATGTTCTTTGCGTGATAAAATAATTCTTTTTTATCAATTTTTATTTTTAAAGTTGTTTTATTTATTTTTTTACACGGGGACTGAAATGTCCCCATATAAGGGGGACTGAAACGGCGGGACTGAAACGGCTGGGACTGAAATGGCACGGGACTGAAATGGCAGGACTGAAATGGCGGGACTGAAACGGCGGGACTGAAATGGCGGGACTGATGTGTCCCCTACCGGCCCTACTTTCCCTTTGATCTTCTTTATTTTTTTAATTAATCAATTTTTCTTAATCCTGTAAATAATGAATTCTTTAACTAAATTTTCTTTTGATTCTGTCAGAGAACATTCACAGCAAGATTCTGATATTAATACAGATTGTGATATGAGAAGTACAAACCAAAAACAACGATCTAGTGAAGATATTGTTCATGCAGCATTTCCACACAAACAAGAATTACTTGTTGAAGACATAAAACCAAAAATTAAAATTGGTTCAATTTTTGCTTTGCCGTCAAAGAAAGCTAAACAAGAAGTTTTTTTGGGAGAAAATTGTTTTTTTATTTAAATATTTTATAAAGGCTATTGATGCAGAATTGGAACATTTAATTAACCCTGTTGTTTCGTCCAAATCTTTACCAAGTGTTTTAAATTTGAATAGGCCGAGGGTTGCTACAACTTTTGAGGTTTTTATGTTTTAAAAATGTTTGAAATTAGAAAAATTCATGGATATACTTTAGCCGGTGGCCCACTCAGAAACGGGACAAATTATATGCCATTCGCTTCGTCTCGGCGAGCTGAGTCGAAAGGTACCATTCTTTTTTTGCGGAAATGCCTACGAGCCGAGATATAGGTCCTTGAAAACCGAAAAACCATAGGGGGGAGTAAGCACAATTTTGGGGTGAAAAATTCAAATATGCAAATGATAGCTCATTCGAAAGAGCTCCTCGAGCTGAGTCGAATGACACCAAAATCACCGTGATTGAGTAAGTTTAGACAAAGTTACAACACAAAAAACAATCAACATAAACCTATGGGATGTCGGCGAGGCGCTTGTGCAAAACCCCGCGCTTCGCGCGGGGTTTTGCGGCACGCGCCTCGCGGGGAGTCTACGGGCGCTGGGTCTGGGCTCGTAACAAAAACCTATGCCTATTTTAGCTGTAGTCGGCATGTCTGGCTTCTTCTCCAGCAACAAAAACCTGCACGTAGACCAAAGGTAAGGAGCTAAAACTAATACTCATAACTTTGTCAAATCAAGTTGGATTTTGCTGATTTTGGTGTCATTCAACTCAGCTCGAGGAGCTCTTTCGAATGTGCTATCATTTGCATATTTGAATTTTTCACCCCAAAATTGTGCTTACTCCCCTCTATGGTTTTTCGGTTTTCAAGGAACTATATCTCGGCTCGTAGGCATTTCCGCAAAAAAAGAATGGTACCATTCGACTCAGCTCGCCGAGACGAAGCGAATGGTATATAATTTGTCCCGTTTCTGAGTGGGCCACCGGCTAAAGTACAGCCAAATTCATTAGATGGGAGATGGAATAAAATTTTCATGGAAAGGGCCATATAGATACCTTTAACTGAAGAAATCCTCGACCTATTTTTTTGAAATTAGGCGAGGAATCTTCTCTAACAATAAGATTTTTAAAAGATTTTGAAATTTACGAGTATCTAATTACTTAATTCATTTTGCTTTTTTTCTAATTATTAGTTAATATTAATTTTTGATATTTTGATAAATTATTTTTGAGGCAAAATTATAGAACAAGGCTTTTCACTCTTCTGGTAAAAATTCGAAAGTGTGGTAAAGAAAGACAACCTAAAACATTATTCTTTTATAACTATTTAATTTTAATATTTTTTTAGAAAAATAAAAGTCCGGAAAATGCTAACATACCTCATCAAAAAGATACCAATCTTCCTTCTCAGGACCTGAAGCCAACAATAAATTTGAATTTAAAGTGTGAAGGGCCTCTTCCACAAAATGTTGATAAGCCTTCAGCTACAGAAACTGAGAATTTGTCTGATAAAGATTTTCGACAGGTTGACAATCCAGTCATCAATTTGGAATTTGATATTGCATCGATACCTTTACCTGATGAAATGCCTGGGAAGGTAATTTTTTAAATTTAAATTTATGGTTTCGATCAGTTCTTCTTGTAACTCAAATTGTTTTTAATTAATAGGATTTGTAAATTCTGCTTCCAAATTAACTCAAAATTTTACCCTTTTCTTTGTCGATTTTAATTAAATTTTTTAAGAATTTTCCTGCGTATCATTATCCAAATTGGCGCCCTCCAACCCCGCCTCTTCCAGAACCAGAAGAAGAAGAAAAACATACAGAATCCTGTTCTATCGAGGTTTTAAATTTAATTAAAAATTTAAAAACAATTTTTTTCAGAATTTTAGTTTTCCTCCACCTCCACCAAAATTTGTTTCAAAATCTTCAATTCAAGTATCGGTATGAATTACAGTTTTAAAGAAATTTAATTTTCATTTTAATATTTTCTTTTTGCTTTTGCCATTAAATTAGAGAAATTGCAATTTAGTCAAAAAGAAATTAAGTAGGTCATCCCTCGCCCCTCACGAATCAAGATAACGAACAAATAAAAAGAGATTTGGATTAAAGAGAAAAAATTTTTCACGTGCATTATTAAATATTTAGATCTTTTAAAGTTCCAAAATTTCTTTTGATAATTCGGAATTAATTTAATTTTCTTTAGCTTCTAGCTTCTAAACAAGCTGAGAAATTAAAAATTTATTTTTTATTTAGAAATAATTTTTTCTTTATAGGGTGAATCTCTATTAAATTCTCAATCAAAAAAGCCATCAAATAAGAGAAGTTCGTCTATATCTGTTCCTGAACCTGTTACGGTTAGTCGAATATTTTTTACAACTAGTTAAACTGGCTTAATTTAAAAGTGTCGACTTTTAAATTTACAAATGTCTTTAATTGTTTGTATTTTTTAAATCAATTTTTCAGAATGCTCCATCAACTCCAGTTAATTCACAAACTGAAAAATTGCCAACTCAAAGAAATTTTCAAACCACAATAAATGAAACAGTTACGGTTAGTTAATAATTTTTTTTGGTTTCTTTGGATTTAAAAATAATTTTAATTAAATTTAGTGTCAAATACAAACACCAATCCTTCCAAGTTGGCGTCGCACTTCTGAAAGACAACTGCAACAAGTTTATTTGTTTTTTCTAAATTTTTCATTAGATTTTTATTTTAAGGATAATAAATTGGATGAATCTTCAGAATTCAAAAAGCCGGAATTTAGAAAGGTTTTTAAATTTTTTAAATGATATCCCCAGTTAAAACTATTTTTGACGAGTCTCATATTCCGGTTATAATCTACAAAATGAGTTATTTGTTTCGACTGTTTAGAATTTTACTCGAGTTTAATCGATTTTATATGAATTTTTATTTTTAGAATTACCAGGCAAAGTTTGGGTTAGTGGATTCGGATATCTGAATATTTTGGATCAGGGAATTTTCCCCAACCAATTACCATTTAACATTTACAAATTAGTCGAGTTTTAGTTTTTTTACGATTTTATTTTTAGCGTCTCCGTTCTGATATTAGCGAAGATATTAACGATAAATCTCCTTTAACCGACACAAGTAAAGATGCTGGTTCTCCTTCAATAAGTGATTATATTTATCCACCAAAAGATATGGAAGAAATGGTTTCAAAGAAGAATTTCTTTCCTTCTCCAACAAAATCTGTAAATTCATTACCAAATACTTCATCATTAACAACAAAAACAACAGAAACTATTCTAAATTATCGTCATTTAAATTTCTTTAACAATTCTTCTTCCTCAACAAATTCATCAATAAAATCAACACCAACAATAACAACAACCCCTCAATCTTCTCCCTATAAAAAAGAATTTAATAATAATTTTTCATCAAAAAATTCTTCAATAGGAAACGGACGTTTCACATTTTTTACACCAAAATTTAATCCTTTGCGTTACAAAAATGGATGGCTTTTTAGACATTTATGTGATAAACCTGCTTTAAAAAATCCAGCAATTAAAAATAGTCCAATAAAAAATGAAGAAGAGAAAAATGAAGGGGAAGAAGGAGGAGAAGGATAAATGATTCAATAAGTGGTGAAAATAATGCTGATTTGGTATAGTTTGAAAAAGTTTTTTTGAAATTTTTTTTGGTTGAACAGGCTCTGTTAGAGAAAAAAATTTTTAAGCTTTTAAAATTGTTGTTTAAGAGCACTTCTAAAATATTTAATGGTTTTAAAATTTCTGCAAAAAAATTCTTGATTACGAGTGGCAAAATACTACAAAGAAATGACGAAATATGGACTAAATTTTGCAAAAATAGTTTATTACGAAACGGGTCCTAAGATGCATGGACCAGCGTAAAAACTTCATTTTTGGGCTTCTTTAAGGCATACCCTCACAAAACATGCATTTGAGTGTGACTTGTGAATTTTAATTTTAACCACCCTATTCATTATTATAGTAAAGCGATTGATCCGCTGAGTGTAGGAAATATGCAAATCACACGCTTTGGAGGAATATAGTAAGAGCTCTTCCCTATCTTTCAGCTGAGTCAAGAAGTGATCTTCCTTATTGTTAGCCTAGTCCATTAGAGCTTTTATGCACTAGCCTATTTTCCAAGATAAGTTAGTGGCGATATTAATCTTATTGTTAGATAATCTTGGGGAATGTCTGTTTTTTGGGCTGTTTATAATTAAGGCTGTTAATGTATCTTGCCTTATTATAAATTATATTTATTTTTGCGAAAATTGATCTAAAAATTTTCAGAAAAATTTTCCAATTCTTCAAAAAATTGTTTTTTCAATGGATACATTTTTTAACCAAAAATTAATTTATGTCCCAATTTTCGTGATTTATTGGATCATTTGAATGGATTGACTTAAATATTATTAACTTCATCGTTTGAATAAGCTTCATAATATTAATTAAAAAGGTGATTAAAAATTAAAGTTTTTATATTTTTTGATTTCCCTTCCTCATTTAAAAAAGAGCCTGTTCGACTTTTTATAATTTTCTGAAATTCTAGCGTTCAACAAATCGGATAGTTCCAGTCATCTTCTCATTTAACCTCACACCAATTGCACCTTTCTTTACTAGTTCTTATTGTTTTAGTAATCATTATATGGTTGATTATTTAAAGATTGATGGTAATTAATAATTATATTTTTTAATTCTTAAAACATTTTTATATTGAAAGTTGGTAGTTCAAACCTTCGTTTTTATACCTCATTTTAAATTTAGAGTTAACCAAGACACGCATTCTTTGATCTTACTCTTTCCTTTAGTTTTAACTTCATCTTTCACAATCTCTACATTTATCACAATTATAACAAAGTTCATTAAACTAAATTATTGAATTTTGTAAACTCCTTTGGTGGGCTAATAATTCGAGAATGTACATATTTACTAGGGTTTTCATTCCTGACTTTTTAATCGTGATTTTTCCCGTTCTCATTTTCTAATATTCTTCTCCTTATCATTTTTTAATACAAAATCTAAAATTCAGTCTAGTTTTAATTTTCAACTTTTACAGGCCAATTCTTTTGCTGTACCGAGCAATACTATATGTTCTACAAAGCTAAAGTTTTTAATGACAGAAAGGCTATGAGTGATATTATGAGGACTAGGGATCCAAAATTTATGAAAAGGATAGGTTCTCAAGTTGTTGGATTTGATCAATCAAAATGGTTTAAAATTAGTATTCAAGTGATTGGAAGAGGATTTTTTAACAATTAATTTTTCTTTTTAAAAGGTTATGGCTATAGCAACATATTACAAATACTCATTAAATAGAGATTTGCGTCTACAACTTTTTGAAACAAGTGGAGCTGAAATTATTGAAGTAAACCCTACAGATAAACGATGGGGGATTGGATTGCCTATGGATGATTGGCGTATTCGTGATAAAAATGAATGGAAGTGGGTGATGTTTGGGAGTTTTTTGTATTAATTTAAAGATTAGCTACAAATGTGTTTAAAAATTATTTTATTTTGTTATTATATACAAAACATTTGGCGTTTCGTTCGCCACTTTCTATGCCTTTTCCTAGTTTAATTCTAGTCGCAACCAAAGGCACGCGGACATATCGGGATATTTCAATATACGAACAGTTACCCTACTGATTTCGGGACCTGTGGCCACTGTGTCTTTGATAGTATATTGTCCTATTGACAATATACTATAACTTCCTATTGGAATAGAAAGTTATTTTTTTCACCCCAATCCCGATACAAACAAAATTTTGGGAGATTTTATTTCCAAGCAATAAAAGACATTCTTCTCTTAATATTTTTTCACCATTTTAGTTGTCCTTAGCTTTAGCTCTTCTTACGTCCTTGCAAATACGTCCTTGCAAGTAACTATATGTATAATTTTTAAATTTTTTTAGAGGAACAAACATTCTTGGTCGTATGCTTACAATGTGTAGAGACAAATTGCTTCAAAACCCAAAATTTTCTCATGATAAAAATTTAATGTTAAAAGAAATTAAAGAATCATTAGATGCAGCACGTTCTGTTGGGTGTTTAGTTGAGAGATGATTATTTTTAAAAGAATTTTTATTTTATTTTTTTCAAATTAATTGCCCAATTTCCTCACAATTTGTTATTATTATTTTTCGAATATATTTTTGTTTGTTTTTATTTATAAAAGGCAATCTTATTTTAAGTTTTTTTTTGTTTTACATATATTTAATTTAAATTATTAAAAAAAAGATTGCTTTTATTATTTCATAGATATTGGGGAAAATTTAGGAAATTCTGTACAGTTCATAGAGGTTTTCATCTTTATAAGATGCTTATTTCTTTAAACTTATTTTTGTTTATTATGAGGAAAATCAAAAATATTTGGAATGAACTGTCCAGAAAAAATATTTTTAGAGGATCATTTAATTTTTATTTATTTGTGTATTAATTGTTTTGATATTTGCCCTAATTGTCTTCTAATACTTTTTTGATCTCTAAATTCAAAAAAAATTAAACCAAATTAGAATGTAATATTTCCCTAAAATATCAACGCTAAATTTTAAATTTGTGTTGATTTTTTGGTGTTTTTTAAATTTGTTTCGAAAAAATTTTTTCTCAGTTTTTTATTGCAACAAAAATAAATTTATATTTAATGATAAATTGTGTTTTTTTATTTTAAATTTGTTTATTTTCTTTTTCTAAACATTTTTTAGAAAAGGTACATTTGTGGTATATCCCCTCCCGAATTTGATCGACTATAACTTTTTTATGCTTGATCCGATCCGAATAAATTATATTATAAGAAGGCTCTCGACAAGCGCTATCTTTTTCCCACCCCACTCTTTCAACATTTAATATTTTTCAATGTTCTTTGCAGTTTTAAAATTTTTTTTTATTCGAAATGCAAAACTATCAAATAAAAATATTTTAAAAAATTTTTTAACAGAACTTGTCGTTATTTAAATTTACTTTTCATTTGCAAAAATTCAAATATTTTTCTGTGTAAGTGTACATACATATATTTTCGCTAAAAAATTTGTCTAATCCAGTTACTTTTAGTAAAAATAACTTTTTAAGTGCCTCTCAATTATGTTAATACTTTACACGTTTTCAGTGAAGAGTAAGCGAGGGAGGGGTTAAACAATTACAAGTATTTAGTATATATTTTATTTTCAGATCCTCACGTGTAAAAAAAAATTTTTAAGAGTACTTTGGTTTGAGAGAAAGTAAAAAAATAAATATTTTAGTTATTCACTTTCTAAAGAAAAATATTTAAATATTCTCATTCTCATCATTCTTCCATTTTTCAGAATTAACAAAAATTTTAAAAGTTTTTCTGATAAATTTTTATTTGAAATAACAGGATTGTCAGTTTGGATATCCGAACATTTTCCAAGAGCCGAGACAACCTTATAAAATAATTAAAGTTCTCTCTCATTTATTTTGTTTATTTTTCATTCTCAAATTAATTAAATTTTAAAATTTTTTTGCCCTCTTCTTTTATTTTGACAGGTCTGCCTTTTTAGGTTAAAGACTAGCTAGCTAACTTTGTAAGCCATCCATAATCATAAGTAGGGTTGCCAGCTCGTTCGACCCTAAACTCGAAAGATCGAGCGAGCCTAGGCTTTTCAGCTCGAAAACGAATCGAATCGAAAAAACAAACTCGAAAAAAATACACCGAACGTCGGCTCGAACCGAAAACGGCAACCCTAATCATAAGGATTCATTGGATTGTTATAAAATATAAAACAAAACATAACATTGCCTTCTTAACTTTTGCTCACAATTTGTATTCACCGCAATAGTTTTTCAAAAATTAAATTTATTCAAAATAAATTTAAAATATATTTTTTTTTGTTTTATCCAAATTATTCCAATATAATTTCCAATATGACTTCATATCTCGTGTGAGTATTCTCTTTATTGTACACCTCCTCAATATTATCTACAACACCCTCCTATGCCACATGTGAGGTCTGACTTTACTTAAATATTTTACATAATTTCAGTCACAAAAATTTATTTTTTAACAAAAGTTTTGTTTGATTTTTAGAGAGATTATTTTTCTCCTTTTTTTATTATCAAAAATTTACATTTTTCATTGAAATTTAATTCACTAAATTATTTAATTGATAAAATTGTAATTCTTTTATTTGAATATTTTTTTGTAAATTTTATTAATCTCCACATTTATACTTTTTAAAATAATTTTTAGATAAGAGACAATTTTTTAAAAGTATTCGTTAAGAAGGAAAAGGAACAGTTTTTAGTTTAACAATTCACATTTTTAATATTAAAATAAAATTAAGCGAGAAGAAGCAACCAAATATTTAAAAAATGCAATTAATTTTTACATCAATCAGTAAATAGACTGCTTGATGTAAATTTTATCAATTAAAAATATATAATTTAGTCCTTCCCCTCTCACTTATTTTAAAACACACTAAAATTCTGCAATTTGCAAAGAAAAACTGTTTTTTTTTGTCCATAAAGTCCATAAAAATATTTTAGTTGGGTTGTTGTTGTAGTTCTAGTGTTGTGTAGTTGTAGTGTAGTTGTTAATTATTCCCCTCCTTTAAACTTCATGATTAGTTAATAGGGCAATTAATTTACGATATAAGTTAATAATTATATAACAGAAGATTACTACAATAATTAAAATTTTATATCAGTTAACCCCTGAAAAGCTTCGCGCCTAAACATCACTTAAATTTGTTATCTTCTTTTCTCTAATTTTTTAAAAAATATTTTTTGTTCGTTTATTTATTTATCAATTCTTCAAATTATTTATACAAAATTTATTTTTCTTTCTAAAATTTTTCTCATTCCTTCCACAATTTAAATACAAAATTAAATAATCAGAAAAATTGTTTATTTAAAAATTAATGCGTATTACAGTAATGTTTTGAGCTAATTTTTCTAGTTTGTTATGGACTTAGAAACAGATAAATATTTCTGGTGGCTGATTAGATTTAGTTTAAGGAATCCTCACAAACATTAATAAATTAAAATAATAAAATTTATAAAAATAAAAATATATTTATTTATTTATTTCTAAACAAGTAAACTCAGGCTTAACTCGTTTTTTTTGATTTTCGATTTCATACTTTCTTGCGCTAAAAATAAAAAAATTTAATTCTAAAAATACCATTTCAACGAGAATACCTTTCCCTTCCCCCAAATTTAACCAAAATTTATTTTTGAGAAGAAAAACAAATTTTAGGAATTTTTGGCAATAAACAAAGAATTATTTTTTAAAATTATTTTTATTTAATTTTCTGATTAAAAATTAATTTTTATTCTTTTAAAAATTCTCACCCGCTTTTTTTATTTACTAAACTACTTTTAAATTTTTTATTAAATCAAATTAATTATTTAAACCTTTATTTGTTTAAATAATTTAAAAACGTTTGGAGTATTTCTATTTTTGTTATTTTTTTTCTTTATAATTGTTTTATTTTAACTATTTTTAAATTTAATTTTGATTAAAACCTTTGAATTAATTTTTAAACACAGTCAATTTGTTGAGGGCCTTCCCATTTTAGGTATTCACTGATCAGCAAATTCTGAGGGATAATCAGGTCCCCAAGGCTTGTCGAAGCTACTGAAAGATGTCAAGCATTTTTATTAATATAAAAAACCAAGTCGCAAAAAAATATAAAAAAAATATTTAAAACTTTTTAATGACACTTTACTCTCTTTAATTTATTAAAAATCAAAAAGACTTTTTCATCGGGATCCAAAATCTCGAAAATCAACGCGAATTAGGGATATAGTACTTTAAAAAATATTTTCACTAACTTAGTGTATTTAAAAAATTTTCTTTTGGCTCATCTGACAGCCAGAAAAATTTGCTACAAGATGCTCGTAATTTTATTTCTCAGAAAAAATTCTCCATAAAGTAGAAAAGGTTATTATGTAGACTTCCTTTTAAAATTTTAATTTTCTAATTATTTTTTTCCAAACTTTTATTTTTTATTTTAAAACAGAAAAAATATTTAAATAATTTTTTAACAACCTTTTTTGTTTAAAACTTTTTTTAAATAAAAATGATTTCATAAAAAATATTTTTGTTTTAATATCAGTCATTATTTGGTATTTAATTTTCTAAAGTTTTTACATAAAATAATATTCCCCCCCCCCTCTCTCCTCTCTCTCTCTCTCTATTTATGTACCAGATATCAAGTTGCACGATTTTCTTTTTGTTTTTCACGTGAAAAGTAAAAAAAATAAAATGTTAAATTTTTACTTTTGAAAGTTTTTTTGTAAAAAAAGAAATTTTTTGGGAAGGAAATGACACTTCTTTACTCTTTAATTTATTTAAAATAAAAAAAAGTCAACTTAAAATCGAAAAATTTTGTATTTAAGTAGCTAAAAAATGTTGACAAGGTTGTTATAAATTAAAAAAATTTATAATAAACTTTGGAAAGTAAATATCCGTTAAAACAAAATTAGATTGAAAATAAACCTTCAGTACCTACATACCTTACTTCAATCCTAAATGGTTAAAGTTACAATTTTTCTAATTTCATCAGGTTTTAATGTAAATGAATATTTAAATTATAATTTGGTTATTGTATATACACTGCGTTCCAAGAATATATGCACCCCTAGTTTTTTGATTTTTTATACATTTTTCTTAGTTATTTTGATTAGACTTTTTGTCTATATATTCTTCCAGATAAATGTGTATATTTAAACAAAAAAATAAAAATTTCCCCCATCTCGTTCCATTTTTATAAACATTTATACAAATATTCACTGTTCCAAAAGTATATGCACCCCCCTCAAAAATTTTTATTTAGCAATCAAAAAATCCAAAAAAATTTCTCCAAAGATATCCATAAATATATTTCTCCAAAGATATCCATAAATATCAAAGATGAATTTTTTCTGGATTATGAGTTGAAAGCTATCTTGTAGCAAATTTCAAGGGCTTTCAAATAAGCCTAAAATTAAATTTTTATTTTACCTGTAAGGGGTCGAAAATATTTTTTAAAGACGTCTACCCCCTGTTTTCCGTTGATTTTCGGGTTTCAAGATCTCGATGATGGAAGTACATCAGAACTTCATTTCTTTTGTATTTCTTATCTATATTTATGGATATCTTTGGAGAAATTTTTTTGGATTTTTTGATTGCTAAATAAAAATTTTTGAGGGGGGTGCATATACTTTTGGAACAGTGAATATTTGTATAAATGTTTATAAAAATGGAACGAGATGGGGGAAATCTTTATTTTTTTGTTTAAATATACACATTTATCTGGAAGAATATATAGACAAAAAGTCTAATCAAAATAACTAAGAAAAATGTATAAAGAATCAAAAAACTAGGGGTGCATATATTCTTGGAACGCAGTGTATGTACCTACTTTATTTATTTATTACTCTCCCTCAAATAATTACCCCGCCTCTATTATTTACCCCCTCCAACGAGAAGTCGAAACGCTAATTACCCAGGGTAATTTGTACTTTTAGAGAATAAATTTTCATTTAAAATATTTTTATTTAAACATATAGACCCTTTCTAATTAACAGTTTTATTTTCTTTTTAATTTAAAAAATTGTTTAAAATAAAATTAATTTTTTTAAAGAAATTTTGGGAAAAAATTTTATTTTTTAAAATTAATTAATTTATTTAAAAATGTCTACAGAAAATAACAACTTTGAAAAACCCCCACCATTTATAATTAATGGAAATAATAAAGTTTGTGATGAAAATATTGAGGAGAAAATTTTAGAAAAATCTAAAAAGAAGACTGGATTGGGGTGGTTTGTTGCTTGTTTGTTTGTGGTTAATTAATTTAATTATTTATTGAATTCGAATAACGAAATCGAATGGATTTAAGGAAAAGTCTGAGGGCTATACTTTTGTATGAAAATTCCTTTACTGGAAAATTTCTTATTTTTTGGCACATTTTTTTCCGTTATTAACAATGTTCTACATACATAGATTTAGTATTGAAATTTAAGTCCAAGTTTCTAGTAATCCCGGACCCTTTACATAAATTCAAATTCCAGAAACATTCCCAATTTTTTTAAAGGTAAGCGATATGGCAGGAGGTGGATTAGTTGCTTTGCCTACAGCGATGATACAAGCTGGTTATTTTTGGGGAGGGGGGGGGGATTTTGGAAATTAAAAAATATTTTTTAAAGGTTTTTGGACGGGCATTTTACTTTCATTTTTGATGACTTTAATATTTATGTTTACATCAAAAGCTTTGGGAAGGAATTGGGTTATTTTAAGAAGGAGGTGGCCTGTATATCAAAAACATTGTAGACAGCCTTATCCAGAAATTGGTAGAAGAGCTATGGGGAAATGGATGGGGTAAATTTAAAACAATTCTAGTTTAGGCTTAAAACAATTAGAATTTTAATTAAAAAATTTAATTTTAAAAATTTTCTTTTAAAGAAATGTTGTCTCTATTTGCGTCGACATTAATCAAGTAGGGAAATAATAAATAAATATTTCTTGTTAATAAACTTCCAAAAATAATTTTTAACCAGTCATGAGAAAAATAACTAAAAAAATTCGTAAATATCCATTATATCAATCAAAACTCAATATAACGAACTCGAAGAGACCAAGCAAAAAGTTTTACTATATCGAGATGTTTGTTAAATCAAAGGCTCTTTATTATAGTGAGCTGAACATTTACCAAAATATTCTCTCAGAATAATTTTTTTTGGGATTTTTCTTTGTTCGGTCTATTTAAAACCGACAACTCTATCCAATTCTTATTATTTCAGACTGGTCTTATTTTAGAAGAAAATAAATAAATAAAAATTATTTTATAATATTTTTGTTTTTAATTAATTTAAGTTCGGGACAACAGTTGTTTACCTCCTTCTCTCAGCAAAAAATATTCACGATACTTTAAAAGTTTTTAAATATTTTTTAAAATAAATTAATTATTTTTAAAGTCACTATTCGATGCAAACATAAGTTTTTGTGTTTTGCTTGTAATTTTGGCTATTTGTTTGCTTCCAATTACTTTTTTGAATTCCCCCCAAGATTTTTGGTAGTTTTTAAATATTTTAAAAATTATGTTTATTTTTAAAGGTTAGCTGCTGTAGTTGCTGTTACTACAACTTCTTTGGTTATTTTTTGAAGAAAATATTTTTTAATAAATAATTTTATTATTGCTGTAAATACTTTCACGGCTCTAAAAATTTAAAGAATTTAATTTAATCCTTATTTTCTCTACAATTACATACATTTTAAAATTTAGTTCACCTAATATGTATGTATATCGTCGAATCTCATTATTTTGTCTGAAATATCTAGGAAGAAAAAATCGGACAAAGTTAGAGAGATCTTTCACAGAGAGTGTCTGTAAGAGACACTCAAAAACCTATTCTGAGAGTGATCTTAATAATTTAATTAGGTCTTTCTGTAACATTAAGATAAATCTCCACGTTTTTTATCTGTTTATTCCTTCTTTTACATATAATTTTTGATTTAATTTTCTTCTATGTAGGCAGTCATCTTAATTTGTATCGGTTCTTTACTCGATTTTGGAGAATGCCGTCAACACCATTCAATTCCTGAATTTCAAATTACAAATTTTTTCTTGGCTGTAGGAACACTTTTATTTGCTTATGGAGGGCATCCAGCATTTCCAACAATTCAAAATGATATGAGAAAACCTGAAGATTTTGAAAAGTCTTCTTTATTGTCTTTTTCTAGTTGGTTTTTTTTAAAAGAGAAAAAATAAATTTTATGAATTCTTACACAAAAATGCCTAATAATTAAAAAAATTTTCTCAAAATAATACTAAAATCTTCTCTTCTAGTTCTCTTCTGTATGTATACCCCAGTCTGTATTATTGGCTATATGACATATGGAAATAGTCTTCGAGAATCTGTTATTAATTCTTTACAACATGTTTGGATACAACAAGTATATTTTAATTTAAAATATTTTTAAAATTAATTAAATAGGTCGTTAATTTAATGATAACTTTACATTTAATATTTACAATAATTATTGTAAATAATCCTTTAAATCAAAAAGTTGAAGAAGTTTTTAATATTCCACATGGTTATTTTTTAAATAAAAATATTTAATGATTTTTAAAGATTTTGGTTGGAAAAGGGTTGTTGTGAGGACTGGAATGATGATTCTAGTTTTATTTGTTGCTGAAACTGTTCCTTCTTTTGGGCCTTTACTTGATTTAATGGGTAAATTAATTAGGTATTTATCCGTTATTTCCCCTAGCATTCTCTTCTGGTTAAGTAGAGCTCTCTTTTCCTGTAAAACATTCTCATGGAATATATGTCCTGCTGAAAACAGAGGTCCCGGACCATAAAACAAAAAACTTATCGCCATAGATGGCAAAATGATTGGTACTTATCAATCATTTTATACGCCCACAATAGAGTGCCGTCCGACATTGATTGGCTATAACTTTTTTGAGCTTGATCCAATCAAAATAAATCTTATATCATTCGAAAGCCAGATAGACGGAATCTTTTTTCTAATAGGATAGATCAAGTCTGATCACTCATTAAAAAATTATGACCCGATAAAAGTTATAACTTCTTATGGACAATAATGAGCGATACACAAAACAATAGATAACACTCCTCTATATTTTACAAAATTTTCAGTCCAAAAGTGTATCCATAAATGAGGTCGGATTATTTTCAAATTAGGACCTTTAAAATTAATTAATATATCCAATAATTATCCCTCAAAATCCTTCTTTCAATTTTAATTTAATTAAAAGGTGGCTCTGTATTAATGTTGTGTTCTCTAGTATTTCCTTCACTTTTTTATCTTTTTTTGAATGCTGCAGAAATTAAATCAAACGAAAAACCAATTAAATATAAAATAAACAACAATGGATTAAATATAAATAAACAGGGGGAAGAAGAGGGGGAGGAAGAAGAAGATTGGGAAATTGCTAATTGGAAAGAGTTAATTTTAAATTTAAACTTAAATTTAAATTAATTTTTAAAGTGTTGTTGAAAGAACTGATAAATTAACTTTATTTGGTTATATTTTTATTATTAGTAAGTTTTTTTTATTAAAAACAAACCATGAAATCTTAAATAAAATGTTTAATTAAAATTTAAAAGTAAATTAGAGTTTTAATAAAAAAGAAAAAGAGAACGTTTTATTAATTAATTAATATTAAAATTATTAACTGGTTAATTCCAATTATTTGTTAGCGCCTTGATTATTAAATAAACCTTTCCGAAAATTCCAACCTACATATTCTAATCCTAACATTCCTAACCCCCTAATTAATCTCGATCTTTTAATTTCTTTTTATCTACTTACATACCTCTTTTTCTACAAGGAATACATTGAATAAATTAATGAAAAATAATTTTTGAGAAGGGAAAAGAAGAAAATAAAAGATACATATATGTATATTTTTTAATTAAAAATTATTTAAAAATTTTTTTTCAAGTTTTTGGAATATGTGGAGGTTTAGCAGCAACATATTCAGCAATTCGTTCACTTTCTGTTACCCATTTTGTCCCTCCCTGTTATTTATCTTCAATAGCTAATGGGAAAGAACCAAATGCTGGGGGACATGTTAATTGTTGTGGAAAATATCAAAATATTTCTGTTTTTGGTTTACAAGAAGAATATTGTTCTCCTTCTAATTTAGATTTTTATTCTTAAATTAATTATTTTTTGAAAAAAGGAGAGAAGAAAAAGTTTTTAATGTTAATAACTTTTTGGGGGTTAAAGCTCTTTCTTTCTCCTTATTTTTTGTTTTAATTTTTAATTTGTCCTCTTCTAAAGATTTTTTTTATCAAAAAATGTTTTAAAAGATCAAAGCTTTATTTGATAAATAAATTTTAATATTTGAAATGAAAGGGGTATTCGATTTTCGGGATTTTGGATCTCTATATGAAAAAATGAATTTATGTATAGACTTCGTTCTTTTTATTTTCCTCCCAATAAAAAGAAATTACAACAAAATTTATCCGTTCAAATTTAAACAATTTTTCAAATAAAAACATAATTCTCAAAAAGAAAAATTGAAAAAAAATTTTTAAATATTTTTTGAAAATTTTTAGTTTTTTAAACACGACATTTTTAAATATTTTGTGAGTATTACCATTTTGAGAAATAAAGAGTGTTGATGTTATGAAAAATTTGATACATTTTAACATTATAAAATAAAGCTAAAGAATGTTATTGTAAATAGAGAAATTAATTAGAAGAAAGAGTGTGTGAGTTATGCAGCTCTATATTCTATTTTTCGTAATTTCTCTTTATTTTATATCACGTCTAAATTTTATAAAACAAGTTTTCCTTTCTTTTTAACTTTTGTCTTGTTCTTTGGTTATAAACCCTAGTATTAAGGTACTAGTTGTTTATTGCTCTCAAAGATCTGAGTGGCTTGAATAAATTTTGGAATTGCATTGCTTTTGCAGTGCTTAAGATATACATATTTCTCTGACTGATCTTATTCTTCAAGTTTTCGTTTGTGGTTTTAAGTGTTCAAATATTTTATGCGATTATTTTCTATTTGCTTTTGAACTTTGAAGCAATTCCTACATTTATTTTTGGGTCAACGTTTTTCATTTAAAGTTCAAAACGAAGTAGTCAGAAAAAATTGTTTAGAAATTAATTATCCTTTATTTTCAATTCAAAAAACAACAAAAAACACAAAAAATTTTCACATAAAATCTTCTTCAAGATCTCTTCCTTCTGTATTTTTATTTGTTGTTGTCATTTGTTCTGGGGTAAAGACACGGTCATAACTCATATTTTTTGATTCTCGTTCAATAGCTTCTCGTTTAGCTTTTTCTTCATTAAGAAATTGTTTCTGTTTTTCTTTCTAAAATTAAACAGACATTTTGTAAAATTAGTTGGGCTTTTTGTCAATTATTTGACATTTTGTAAGTCTACCTATTTTTAAAAAATTAACAATTACAAAACCGTGATAGGGCAAAACTACACCTTACCAAAACTTATTATTAGTTCGACGAGAATACTCTCTAAAGAGAAAATCTGCTCCACTACGGGGGTTGTTCCTTTCAAAGGTGTTTCTTGCACTTTTCCCTGTATCTTGGCGGTATTTTGGTAAGGACAGAATTTTGCTTCCTTACCCCAACATAATCTTTGGAAATAATAGCAAAATAATGTTTAAAAACAAATCAACATTCCCCCCACAAAAATTTAAAAAATATTTTTCTCACCACTTTCTGACGCTCTTCCATATCCCTTTGCTCTCTTAATTGTCGAAAATCAACACCAGTTGCATGAGTTTTAGTTTTATTCAGTCTATTAATGATTTCCCTTTGTTTCTGTACTCGAACCTAAATTTTTTAAAGAAATCTTTTTTCAAATTTTCTCAAAAAAACCTTCTTAACATCTTTATTTTTGTGAAAACCAACTTGTCCAGTTACCATATCTCCAGTCTTTTTTAAATTGCCCCACATTGTGTAGACTACATCCGTTTCGGATAATTTACAGCCCTAAATTTTAAAAATTTTGTTTAAAAAATAATTTGGAATGAGAGGGGGGGGGGGGGAAGAAAAATTGAAAAGAATCATTTATTTAAAGAAACCTCAATAGAATTAGCTTTAACTAATTGACAACAATCCTCAATTAAATTCTCAGAAATGTCACTAATTTGTTGCCCAGTTTGTAGTCGAAGATAAACGTGGGCAGAAGAAAGCTAATTTAAAAAGTAGAAAAGTTAAAAATTTAAAAGAAAATACTTTATCAACGTGAAACCAAACATCCTCTGGCCAGCCATATCTAAAAATTGTGGGAGGATTTTGAAAAATTAAAGTTAATGGAATTCTTATAATTGACACGATAATTAAATAAGAGAACTAAAAGAAGACCTTAAATGTTAAACTACCTTAATTAATTACTAGAGAGCGAGCTGGATCTGGATCCAGACCTTGATTTTTCCCGGATCCAGAGTCCAAATGAAGGCTTTTTTCGGAGTTCCTTGATTTTTCCTTGACTCGAGGTCAAGAATCTGGTTAAGGTACCCAGCCGAAACCAAGGTTTTTTTGAAAATCCCGCTCTCTATTAATTAACTTTAGCCTTACAAAATTCTGTGGAAACAAAAATTAATTTTTTCCCAAAAAATTATCTTTAAAAACAAACTTAATTAACAATTCATTCTCCTCTTTGTCATCTCCCATATATAAAACAGCTGGTGGATCAACAACATTCGAAGTAAAATAATAGACCATTCCTTTTCAAAAACACAAAAATAAATTTACTTAAAAAAATGTAAAAATATAAGAGAAAAACACAACTCTTTAATTAAAAAATTCTTTAAAAAAATTTTTTTATAAACAAATTTAAACAAAAAAATATTTTCTTAATTATTTTTCACCTAAAAATCCTCTCTTTTTTCTTTTAATTATTTAACATTACTTCTTTCAGCCAAATTTTTGATAATTTCAAAAACCTTCTCGCGGCTTTCATTTTCAACAGAAATACTTTTTTCAATTCCATATTCATATCTTTAAAAAAGAATTTAAAATTTAAATTAAAATAATTTTAACAAAAAAAACCTCGCCCAAATTTTAGGTTTAATCCCCGAACATTCTCTAATTAAAATTGGAAATAACCGATTTCCTTTCTTTAAATCCACATAATCATTTTCGATAAATTGTCGAACCCCGTTACTTTCTGGCGATTTTTGACATAAATGGATTCGAAGTTCACGTAAAGCAGTACCGGTTAAACGAAGAGATGAAGCCATTAAAAAAACGATTTTTAGCTAAAAATTAAAATTAATTAAAAGAAAAGTTGAAAAGAAAAAATAAAAAAGAAAATAATGAACGACATTTTTAAATATTTTGTGAGTATTACCATTTTGAGAAATAAAACGTTTTGATGTTGTGAAAATTTTGATACATTTTGACATTATAAAATGGGGCTAAAGAATATTATTGTAAATAGAGAAATTAATTAGAAGAAAGAGTATGAGAGTTATGCAGCTCTATATTCAATTTTTCATAATTTCCCTTTAATTTATATCATGTCTAAATTTTATAAAACAATTTTTCTTTTCTTTTTTACTTTTGTTAGCTCTTTTGGTTATAAACCCTAGTATTAAGGTACTAGTTGTTTCATGCCCTCTAACGTCCGAGTGGCTTGAATAAATTTTGGAATTGCATTGCTTTGGCAGTGCTTAAAATGCTTTTTTTTAAAGTTATAGAGGTACATTCAGTTCAAAGGTTCTTTACGACGTGAATATCCTAAATTTTTAATCGTTTTGGCAACTATCCAGTTGGAGATTGCGTTTTTGTATTTTGGAAAATTTATTTGTTTCTTTGCCAAGGTTTTTTTATTAATTTATTTTCATCGGCACGTAAACAATATCCACAGTAGAACAAAGTAAAATTAAAGAAGAAAGTTGACTTTTTTTAAATTTCCTTAACTTCCCTAATTTAGTTTTTTATTTATTAAGTTTTGGCATGACCGTTTAATTTCGGTTTAAACTAATATATTTCAAAATATTTTCAAAATATTTCTAAAGGAGATTCAACCGGTTAGAATTTAAAACATTTACTAGATGAGGGTCTATGTATGAATAATTATTAAAAGAGAAAGTTACAATTTAAATTTAAAAATATTATTAGTCATAAAAAATTTAATTTTTTGTTTTTAATTTTCATTTTCTTCTTCATTTTTATTATTCAAAAAATTATTTTCAATTTCTTCCAAATAAGCAAGTAAATTAGCTAAACCGGTGGCAGAATCAATTACATCATTATGTAATGGATTAGAGCCGGAAGGTACTAGACGTCCATTAATTGTTGTTGTTAGAGTTGAAATAAATAAAAATAAAATAAAAATAATATTCTTAATTTGCATTTTTTTAAATTTATTAATCTTTAAAAAAAGAGAATTCTTTTTTTTATACTTTTTTGTTAAGTAAAAGTTTGTTTTTTCAATTAATTTTTAAAAAACATTTTATATTTTAATGCTCACAATAAGGGAAAAATTAATAATTTTTTTATTTGCCACACAAAAAGTTCCCCATGTAAATTTCCAGCTAGCCGTACAAGTTAAATTAATTTTTGAATTTAATTGGGTTTATATTTTATATAGTAGGTATTTAATTCTTGAAGCTATACAGAAGTACAGATAATCGAAAATGTTGATTTGCTCCCAGCCGCCGATTTAACCCCATGCATTTTCTGAAGGAGAAATAGGTAGCTATTTATGTAGCTAGTCTAGGTAGTTTAGCTTTAATTGAAAATATGAAAAGATTTTTTAAATAAAAATGAATTAATTACTTCTTTTTTCTTTAACTTTTTATAATACTCTTTCCCTCATTCCTTCGTTTTTATTTTGCAAAAAAAAAAGACGTCAAATTTTTTTAAATTTTCAGTTTAAAATTATAATTTTTCTATTTTTGTATCCTTTTTTAATTTTTAAATTAATTTATTGCAAAATATGACGTTAATTAAATAATTTAAATAAATAAAAAAATTTTTATTTCCTCAAAAATTTAAAACAAGAATAGCTGAAAATATTTTAAATTTATTTATTTATTTAGCTAAATTCTAATTCTAAAAAAGGGAAATACTTTTTTATCTGAAAATCGACTAGAAATTAAAAAAAATTATTTTTCCAAAATTTTTTTGCTTGCATAAATCTTCGTCTAAATTTAAACAACACGTAGAATTGCCGAAAAAAGGATTTTCCAAATAGAATACCTACATATTAGGGTTGCTCACGCCCGGTTTTAAAACCGAAAATTTTGATATTTTTTACCAAAAATCAACCGATTTTACAAAATTAAAAAAACCGAAAACCGAAAATTTTTAAAAATGAGTGATTTTATTAAAAATTCCCCCAAAATAAAACCGGTATTTGTCTAAAACTCAAAACCGAAAACCGGGAGTACCGGTTAATAACCGGTCGTGAGCAACCCTACTATATATTAGAGCCCGGACGGAGGGCTCGGTCGATATTTTTTCGATAAATATCGAAAAATACCGAATACCGAAAAATATCGAAAAAACCAAAATTTTCTCGGTCGATATTTTTTCGATAAATATCGAAAAACATCGAAACCGAAAAATATCGAAAAAAAAGTTTCGATATTTTTCGATTTTTCAAAAATTTTTCTATAACCAATGAATAACAGAATAGACCTAATAGTTTAATGAGATTAAGATTGATTAAATGGATATTGGTGAATTTGTCGGATTAAATGTAATTTGTATTTGATATCGAAGGATAAAGTGGGATATAAGTGGATTTTAACTAGGGATAATGGATTTTAAGGAATTAACGGGGATTTTGAAGGACTGTGTGTGTCGGGAGATTTAAAGGTGTTAAGACTGTATTGTGGATTCGTGAGATCAGGAGGGATATCAAGGGATTTGTGGATTAAGAGGGATATCGGCGGATAAAAAGATATCAGAGGATAAAAAATCTTGGCATTTGATATCCGTTTTGATATCCATCTCTCCCAAAGTCCGTCTTGATCCCTCGAGATCCATTTTATGCACTTAATCCTCTATAAGTTATACAAATAGTCAATTACCCCGGATATCCACAATATCCGTCATAATCCTTGGATATCTCAAATATTCCACCAAATCTTCAGATATCCCAACAAGTTACTCCTAACCCACTGAAGTATCCCTTAATCTACCGAAATCTTTCATAATTCATATCAGTGTTATGTACCATATACATATTATCTCACTCTCATATCGCTTTGGCAAACTAAATCGTGAATATAGAAGAAACCTTTCTCCTTTTCTTGCGCCGCAGGCGAAAATTTTTTGAATTTCCGATGGGCAATATGCAAAAATGCATCCTTTTTGGCGCCAAAAATCCAAATTTTTGTCAGAAATGACGTTCGATATTTTTTTCGATTTTTTGAAATTTGGTCGGTCGATTGTTCCGATTTTTAAATTTTGTCGGTCGATATTTTTCGATAAATATCGAAAAAATATCGAATACCGAAAAATATCGAAAAAGTCAAAATTTTGTCGGTCGATATTTTTTCGATAATATCGAAAAAAAATATCGAAAAATATCGATAAAAAATCGTATCGAGCCGGGCTCTACTATATATGTATTAGGTTTTAAATAAATAATTTCTCCTTCTTTTTTACTTTTAAGGACCCAAATATTAAACTTTTGAACTTTGAAGTTTTGAATAAATTTAGATGAAAAAACAAGACACTTGAATGAAAGGATTTAGTATTGTCTTTGTTTGAGTGGATTTTTTGTTTTACATTTAAAAATTGGAAAAGTTTTTGGTTTAAATAAAATTTTGCTTTTTACATTTTATGAACATTCTCTCAGATTTAAATTGCTTTTTTCTCTATTTAATTTTACAATTTTCCTCTATTTAATAAAAGTTTTTTTTTCAAATTTCTTTAAAAATCATTAAATTTAAATATATTTTGATTAATTAATTGGGAATCTTCGTTAAACAAAAATAATTATTTATTTAAAATTTTAAATAAAAAAGAATTTTAATTGAACAATAAATTTAAATGGTTATTTGTACTTGCCAGATGATCGATAAAAATGTGTGAATATTAAATTGAAATTGGCGAATAGAAGAAGAATGGAGAAAAAAATAAAATTTATTAAAATAGTGAAACCAAAATTTTAATCAAATTTATTTAAATATTCTTTGATATAATTTGTCAATTAAAAAGTTTTATTTTAAAGAAAATTCTTAAAAAGGTAATTCTTTTAATTTTTTTATTTCCTCAATTTTAAACTAAAGGAAGTAATTAAAAAGTAAAATTTAGAGAGAATCCTTTCGTTCTAGGCATTTGACAAATTTTTCAAAATTTCATTGAAAAATAAATAAAATCCTCTAAAAACTATTTCTCTGAGAAAAGTTAAGATAGTCATAAAAGGCTTGGATGCGATTTTGATTTCTTAATTCGAAAAAATTATTTTTAAATTTTTTTCAATTTTTTAGGAAAATAAAAATTGAATGACCCAAATTCACGATATAAAACATGCACAAACAGAAAGAAATGAATGGGGGAGTTCTTGGCAATTTTTGTTAACTTGTATTGGATATGCTGTGAGGAAATTAAAAATAAAATAAAAATTTTTTTTATTTTTAAGGTTGGACTTGGAAGTATTTTTGTTTGGAATTTAAAATTAAAAAAATTTATTTATAGATATTTGGCGCTTTCCAGCTTTAGCATATGAACACGGTAAAAATGAATATAATTGATAGTATTTGAGGGGGGAACTCTCCTCTAGAAACTCTCTCCGTATTATTCTCTTCTCCTATTCTGGAATTCTGATTAAAATCAACAAATATATCGCCAATAACTATGCATATCTCAGGCTCCTTGTGTCCGACTGTTAATTTTCCAAATAACGTCCCTCGTAAAAGTAACGTCCCTCGATAAATTAAAAATAATTTTTAAATAAAATTATTTTTTTATTTTTAACAGGTGGTGGTATGTTTTGTTTAAAAAATATTATTTTCTCAAAATAAACTAAAAAAGGTGCCTTCTTAATTCCTTATTTGATATGCTCTTTATTGATAGGATTTCCTTTATTATATCTTGAAATGAGTATAGGACAATTTTGCAAGGCTGGACCAGCTGTAGCTTATGGGTGGATTAGACCTGCATTTCAGGTTGAAAATAAAGTTTTTTATTTGTTAATTGAGAGAAGGCAGAGAATGCTCTCTTCATTTTCTATAGTCTTTTTCCTGTTCTATAAAAAATATTTAATTTAATATAAAAATTAGGGTATTGGATGGTCAATGGCCATGTTATCTCTTTTAATTGGAATTTATTATAATGTTATAGGTAATGAATAAGTTTTGTAAGCAAATTTTTTGAGTATTTTTTCAGTTGCGTGGACATTAATTTATTTGTGGACGGTAATTAATTACTGAAGGATATTTTAAGAAAAAAAGATTTTTTTTGTTTAGATTATAACTGGAAATTCTAATCAATTCTCTTCTTGCACTAACCAATTTAATACAATTTGTAAATTTTATTTAAAAAAAATTTTTTAAATCGTGGCTGTGTGTCGTGTGTTGCCAATTCATTCCCTTTTAATCAACAGACTGTCAATAAATGCTGTGGAGGAAGGGCGGGATTTTTTCCATAAAGGAGAAGAGCCTCTCGGGAAACACATAAAGGGAATAATAGATAAATTAGTGGCATTTTCAAATTATCGGGCCGGATTTTTCGGGTTAAAATCCCAAAAAATAATTTCTTAAAAATACATGTCCTGTTGTATACGGTGGTCCTGTAAGCCCCCTATCTCAGCCCGGTCCGATGATCTTATGTTAGAGGGCCGAGCCAGAATATCCTTTTTAATACATAATTACTATTAATTAAATTATTAAAAAGATTGTTCATCCTCTTTGGAAGATTTACGTTGTTCTAATGAATTAAAAACATCGGGAGCATTTTATTTTAACAGAACTTGTAATTTTGGTAATGATACAATTGCTAAAACTCTGAAAGACAAAACATTTTCTATTTTATCTGCTGTTAGTCCTGCCGAAGAATTTTTTGAGTAAATTTTAAATAAATAAAAATATAATTATTTTTGGGGAGGGGGTATTTTATTTTTTAATTAAATTATTAATAAAAATAAAAATATTAATTGTAGTGTAAACGTGCAAAATTACTTAACAATAAAGCTAAAATAATTTTAAAGAAATTAACTGCTGGAATAATATGTAGTTATAAATTTAAAATTATTAGGATTCAATTAATTTTCATAATTTTTTACACAAATATTTTCCAGAAATTATCAAAATTTTTTCTATTTTTCTATCAGAAAAATAACTTTTTTAAAAAAAAAATTAATTTAAAAAATAAATTAAAAGGAGATATGTACTCGAAAAAACACCAACATTATCCGAATTTGGAGGTTTAAGTTTAAAAATGGTTATTTCCCTTGGATTAGCTTGGTTATTTACTACGTTGGTTTTGGTTAAAGGTGTTGAGGTTATGGGGAAAGTATGTATTTTAGAATTTAAAAATTATAATAAATAAATATTGCCTTTAGTTTTTCTTTTTTATTTTCTGGAATTACAGTGAAAAAAGACAAAAGTTAAAAATTTTTTAACAAATAATAGATCCATTTATCTTTAAGAAAAGGAAAATCCCTTTTTATTCAGTTTTCTCTATTTTGTTTCTCAATATTAAACAAAATTAAATTAATATATTAAATTGTTCCCAAAACTTTTCTTTATAATTTTTTAGATTGCTTGGTTTACGGGGACTACACCCTACATAATAATTGTTATACTTTTTATTAGGTTAATTTATTTTATTTAAAAAGTATTAATTTAAAAAAAAATTAAATATTTAGAGGTATCACATTAGATGGTGCAAAAGCTGGCTTGGATTATTATTTATTGAAGCCTAATTTAAGTGTTATTTGGCTAGCTGAAGTAAAGGGGGGATTTTTGGGGAGAAAATAAAGTTTAAATTTTTAGACTTGGAGAGCTGCGGCAACCCAAGTTTGTTATAGTTTGGCGATTGGAATGGTTTGTTTGTTAAATTTTGATTAGAAAAAAATTTAAAAAAAGGGCGGCCTTATTTCCCTCGCTTCTTTCAACGATTTCCATCAAAATTGCTTCAAAGATGCTTTTTTAATTACTTTAGCTGATGCTTCTACAAGTGTTTTAGGTGGAACTGGTAAGTTTTAAGAGAATTCTGATTATTAGCTAGTTGGGAATTTAAAGAATCTATTTTTTAAGCTGTGTTTAGCACATTAGGTTTTATGTCAAATCAATTAAATATATCAATTGATGCTGTTGTTCAAAGCGGTATTTAATAATTTTTAAAATATATGCCCTTAATACTTTTAAGGAACTGGACTTGCATTTATCGCGTACCCCGAGGCTATGAGTCGAATGCCTGGATGGCCTTGGCTTTGGCAGTTTTTATTCTTTTTAATGGCTAGTTGTTAATATTAAATCTTTAATTTTAGCTATTCAGTTACTTGAATATAGCTAAAACTCTCCCATTATAAATAACCGTCTCTCATTAGTTTCCCAAAATTTTAACGTATCATAGTTAGTAATATTTCTGCGAAGGATAAGAGACTTTATACTAAAAAGAGAGTAATTACACATAGCAAATACAATTGTTCTTTCGAACTAAAATTTTAGAAAAAAAATTAATTTATTTAGATATTAATTTTGGGTATTGCTTCACATTTTGGATTAGCTGAAGTTATGTGCACAGCTTTATATGACCAATTTCCTTTTTTAAGAAAACACAAATCTTTGTTGGTTATTTTTGTTTGTTTAAGTTGTTATCTTTGTGGATTGGTTATGTGTACTAGAGTAAGGATTTTTAAATGTTAAGAGTTAATATTGTTTTAATAAATATCCAAAATTGCTCCTCTCCTCTTTTCAAAGAATTAAAAAACTGGGGGAAAATAGAAAATCCTTTTATTAGGAGGTGAAGTAAATTCTAAAGAAAGCTTTAATCAAGAGTTTTTAAAATTTTTTTAAATTTTAAGGCAGGAATATTTTATTTTAATTTATTTGATGATTATACTGCTTCTTTTTCAATGATGTTGCTTGTTTTGTTAGAATTAGTTTTGGTTGCACATATTTATGGTTAATTAATTAATTAATTTAAAAAATAATTTATTTATTTATTTTAAAGGTTTGTCTAATTATGTAATTGATTTACAAATAATGATGGGACCTGCCAAAAATTGGTTAACTAAAATATATGGACCGACTGGAATTTGTATACAAATTATATGGAGATTTATAGCTCCTTTACTTATAATTGTAAAAAATTGTTAATTAAAATTAGAACTGAGAGGAGATTCTAAATATGTGGAATAGGATCGGACAAATGACAAAATAAAATATCTGATCAAATATATGATTTTCCGACGTCAAATGTTTTTTCGGTCCGATCTCTAGAATATACTACATATAAGAAATAAATTACCAATTTTTGTGAATTTTTCTTTGAGAAAATTTATTCTTTTTCCGGGAAATTGTTTACTGTCCAATGACTAGGATTTTGCATAAAAACAAAGTTAGGGGATGGACTTGGGGAACTGTATCTTGTATGAAAACTCTCTCCCCTATCCCTTACTTTTAAGTAAGAACAACCCTTTATATAAAATTTATTTTTAATTAATTAATTAAAGGTAGTCTTCATTTTTGCCTTAATTTCTCAAATAAAAACAAATCAAAGAACTTATGGCAAAGATAAACGTTTGTATATATTCCCGGAATGGGCAATAGTGTTTGGTTGGATATTATCAATGATTTCATTAATATTTATTCCAAGCCTTATAATTATTAATTTAATTAAATTTAGAAGAAAAGGAAAGGTTTTTTTAAATTAAAAATGAAATTATTTTTTAAAAGGATTGGAAAGAATTATTTCAATTACAAACTAAATGGCCGTCTTATAAAAGAAATTTAAATATTAAACAAAATAAATCGGTAAAAGAAAATATTCAAGGAGGGGAGATGATTAGTACACAAATGTGATTTTATAAAGAAAAAAAAAGAATTAAATTGAAGAAAAAATTATTACAAATATTCTAACTTTTTAAAAAATAATAAAAAAATAATTGGAGTTTGATATAAAAATTGTGGAATGGGGCCTTGTAATGAAAGTTTTGTCATCAAAAATACCCTTAAAAACTATTAATATCTAAAACTAGCCCCAAATAAACCTCCATGTTTCAAAATTCGGTTGCTTACTAGCGGTAAGAGTTGCATAAATGATACTTCCAATTTAATGTTCTGCCTCATTAAAAGGTACGATTTTTGTGGGTAAGTGATAAAAAATGGTACTATGTGTTTATTAGAGATCGAGATTTTTGAAAAACCTGGACCTGTTCCTGGACTCTGTAGTTTGATTCTTGACCTGGACTGGATCCTGGGCCTGTAGTCCAGGAAAAACCCAGGCCTTGGTCCAGGTCCAGCTCGATCTCTACATAGTGTTTATATTATCCCCACATTTTCCCCTCTTTGCTAATTTGATCGACTATAATTTTTTATTCTTAATTCAATCCGAATTAATCTTATATTATTCGAAAGCCCTTGATAAATATTCTCTTTTGCAAAATTAAATTTATTAAATAAACTTAAATAAAGATTAATAAAAAGGTATAAATTATTTAATATGTAATTTTATATGTAGAACAAAAAATTGTGGGCTTTTTTGTAGGTATTTGAAGGTATTTCAAATTTTTTAACTTCTCTCAATCATTTCTTGACCAATTAAATTGTCCTTATTTATTATGTATTGGATTAGATTCTGAAGGTGGAATACGACCTCCATTAATAAATAAAATTGTTGTTGTAAGGAAGAATAAAATTAAATAAATTATTTTGGAGGATTGCATTTTTTAAATTAAATTTAGTAAATATTTTTGAAATAAAATTATTTAATTATTCCCTTATTTACATACCATTTAAATATTAATTTTGTTTACCAAAAAATTCACAAAATAATTTTCAAATAATTGCAAATACATTTGCTTCTTCTATTTTTATCTCTTTAGGAAGTAATTCTTTAATTTTTTTAATTAAATTTTGCTAAATGCAAAAAAGGCAAAATAAATTTTTGCAAAAAATGTTTCTAAATATAATGAAAATTATTAAGTAAAAAAATTTTTTATTTTATACATTTCGAGAACGCCTTTTTTCCTTCCGGAACTTCACCAGACAAAATAACCTCAACAGCCACCCGAAGTCCACCCGGAGTTGATGCATTCATTAATTTAGGAATTCTTGCTAAAGAGATAAAAATGTTCGGAAACGTCATTGACAACCACAAAAAAAATTGATGGCAACCCCAAAATCTTTATTTTAATTAGGACTCCAATCGAGAAAATGTTTAGTGTAAAGTACAAAAAGTTTAATTTGTAAGTACATAGGGGGAAAATATTCAAAATATAAGTACACTACAAAAATAAAATTAAAAAATTATTCCCTCTCAAGTCTGCTGTTCTCTCTCTCCCAAACAGTGCTGCGTCGAAATAAACCTTGCAGTTATTTATTTAACAGTTTAATTTTAATCCTTAATTATTTTCATTTATTTATTAATTCTTAGAACAATTAATTGTCAACAAATGTTTTCCTGTTTCGTAAATATTTACCAAAATTTCTACTAAATTTATTTCAAAAACTTTAAATGTCTCAATCTCAAGAATTAAGCCGTGTAAATCCCCCACCCGGAGTTGATGCAAATCAAGCAGCTATTAGTTTAATGGTTTCTTATTATTTTAATCTTTCGTTTTTGCCGAAATAATAATGCACAATTTGGCAAAACAGGTACTTATTCCCTCCCCCCCCCCTTCTACCCAATCTTAATTTTAGTTGGGGAAGGGTGACTGAATGAATGTGACTACAAGAAAATTTTTTTTAATTATCCGAGGAAAAAATGACTGGCCATTTTATACATCAACTAAAATTCGGACTGGGAAGGGAGGGGAGGGGGAATAAGTACAGATGCTTTTTGTGCTTGAGTGTTTATTTTCAAATCTCCTTAAATTCTTATTTTTATTTAAAAATTTATCTACAACTTTTTCTAAGTTTTTTTCTATTTTTAAGGCAATGGCTGAAACTTTTCGATTGGCTTGTCGTTATAAAATGGCGATCAAATGTTGCATGGTAAAATTTAAAATATTTAAAAAATACAGTCGTGGAAAAAAGTATGGAAGCGCTAGAAAATTTTCTCTTAATTTTTAATTTTTCATTCAAAAAATACGTTCTATATACAAATCGAAAGCTCTATTCGTATCTCAGTTGACATGTTTCTGCATTTTTCATGAAAATGAAAATTGGCCGAGATAATCCGGATCTACCGGATATACCAAATCCCACTTTTTCGGAAAAATTTTTCGGAACAAATTTAACAAGCCCAAATGATAAAGCATATTTTTCTGAGTATTTTCCACAAAACCGCTTAAAAATATCTTTTTCCGGAACGGAGATATGATTTTTTGAAAATCGCATTTTTCCCTTAAAAATTGAAAATTTTGCAAAAATTGACGAAAAATGCGATTTTCAAAAAATCATATCTCTGCTCCGAAAAAAGATATTTCTAAGCGGTTTTGTGGAAAATACTCAGAAAAATATGCTTTATCATTTGGGTTTGTTAAATTTGTTCCGAAAAATTTTTCCGAAAAAGTGGGATTTGGTATATCCGGTAGATCCGGATTATCTCGGCCAATTTTCATTTTCATGAAAAATGCAGAAACATGTCAACTGAGATACGAATAGAGCTTTCGATTTGTATATAGAACGTATTTTTTGAATGAAAAATCAAAAATTAAGAGAAAATTTTCTAGCGCTTCCATACTTTTTTCCACGACTGTAATTTCTCTTTTTTAGACAGCCCTTCGTGTCCCAACTTCTGTTGAAATTTTTTCTCTTTGTTCTTATGAACTGGGAAAATTACTTTGGCTATATACTCGTAATTATACTATGGCCCGGCGTCATTTGGAAGAAGCTCTTCGAACAATGCGTCAATTGGGTTCTTCGTTAGAAACTGAACGTCTGAAAGTTTCTACAATGCTTGCTGAATTGTTGTTATCTGGAAGGCATTTTAGGGAGTGTTTGGAGGTTTGAAATAATTTTCTTTTGATAATTTTAGTTTCGAAAATTTTAGTTTCGACATCCTTGAAATCAAAAAATTTTAGCACTTGAGTTTTATATTTCGCGTTTTTTAATTATAAATTTAGGGATTTTTTGTGATTTTTTCAGTTCTTTTGCAAAAATTTAGCTTTTTTAAAATATTTTGTTCTTTAAAATTGTAGTTATTGTTTCCTATTCTTCTTAAAAAATAAATTAAATTTTTTTTAATTTTCTAGGTTTGCAAAGCAGAATTGCCTGATTCTCCTCGACATCCCCAAGTCCATACAAAACTTCTTTTTATTTATGCTGAGGCCCAATTACGGCTGGGGGAATTTTCTCGAGCTTTAGAAGCTGTAAATGCTGGGATTCAATTTTCTGGAGGTTCTGGTGGAGTTCTTGTTGAATGTTATTTTAGATTGGTTAAATCTTTGGTAATTTACTTTACAAAAAATTTTTAAAAAATTTATTCAAAAAATAATTTTAAAATGTTTTTTTGACTTAATTAAAAAGCAAGAGACTGGAAAAAATTTTTTTAATATTTTTTGACTTAAAATTAGTTTTTAGTTTGCCTTTTTATTAAATTTAAAAATGGTCTCTTTAGATTCTTTCAATACAAATGACTGATCAACAAGAATTGGGCAAATCAGTTGGAGAATTGGGAGAAATTTTACAAACAGTTTAATTTTCTTTTAAAAGAATTTTCTTTTTAATTAAAAAAAAATAAAAGGTAGCTTCAAATAATAAAGACCAAACAGCAATTAACGATATTCGGGCATTTTGTTATTCAATTCAACTCTGTTATTTTTTGGCAATTGGAATGGTTAAAAGTGCAAAACAATGCCTTAGACAATTACATATAACTGTACAAACTGCTGAAGCTGCGGCCAAAAATGAAATGGCTACAATGAATTCGTTAACAACAATTTGTTGGTTAAGTCCTGAAATGGTTGGTTATTTTTAAATTAAAATTTCTGAATTTTGGAAGAAAATTTGTTTACCTTTCCGTTCTCAAAAATCAAGGAGGTATCCAGGGGGTCGGTTTCGAGTCCCCAGGCGAAAATTTCTTGAATTTTGAAGGTTGTAGGCGAGCGCTCTTGTCAAAAATAATAAAATTTCTGAATTTTTGGGTCCTTTTTTGGATCTTATTAGAAAATTCCAAATTAGATTTGTTAACTACGGCTTTTAATGACAACCTTACAAACAAATAATTAATAAGTTATAAGCTTTAAAAACCCGAAGGAAATCAATAAAAAAAATTTTTTTTTTCCGATAATTCAATTTTATTAATTTCTAAATTTTTTTAGTTAACTGGGTAAGCGTCTTTTAATTGGCTATAAATATTTACAAAATACTTTTAAAAAAGATTTGCTTATGTTTTAACTGTTCTTTGCAATATTCAATTTACCAATTTTGAAAGAGCCCATCGATATTATTTAACAGCAATTAGGCATTTGGGAGGAATTAAATTATTAATACAAAAATCAACAGATTCATCTCAAATTGTTGAAAATCGAATGGAATCATTTGTTGAATCTATGGAAATGTTGTTACATGAAGGACTTTCCCAATTATATTTAGTTAAACAAAGCCCAGCAGAATCTCTTTCAACAGTAAAAATTTAGAATAAATTATATAAATTTTTATTTATTCTCTATGTAAAGGAAACTGAATTTCAAAAAAAGTTTTTATTTAAAGCTAAATTTTGGATGCCTGAATATAGCTTAATTTTTAAATTAATCCGGTGTAAAAAATTTGCCGGACCGGATCCGGCCGGATTTTTCTGGATTAATCCGGTCCGGAAAGCTCAAAAAACCCGGATTTGACACCCGGACTCCGGAAAAATCCGGCCGGATCAGTCCGGTGCCGGTCACTAGTATATTTAATAATAATAATTTCGATCGTCTCCCATGAATCATTTTTTTTTACAGATCACAGAAATCTTCAGAACAATACATCGTTCTCGTGAACCTTTAAGATTAATTAACGATTTTGGACCTCAATTGCACACAATTTTGGTTTTTTTTAATTTTTTAAAATTATTTAAATAAAATATTATTAGGGAATGTATGCAACAAATATGAAATGTTTTGAGGCTGCCAAACTTCAATTTAAAACAGCAATAAATAAAGGTGCAAAGGAATTGGAATTGTGGACACTCGCAAATTTGGGACTGGTAAATAATTAATTTTTTAAAGGTTTTTTATTTTTAGTTTTTGATGATTTGATTAAAAATCAAATTATTTTAAATTTTTCTTAAATAATTTCAGAATTTTATTTAAGGCTTTAGTCTATTTATATACTTCTCGTGATGCTGATTTCTATGAATTGTATGATGCCATTTCTCCATTGAAGCTTCGTTCACAAGCGAATTCTACAAAGTCTGCCGCTCTTTTGGTTCAAGGATTTCATTATTTTCTTAATTCAAAACAACAAGAATCAAAGTATTTTATTTAGTTTTTAATTTTAAAATATTTTTCGAAGCTTAAATAAAGCAAAAGGAAAGAATGATTCTTTTACAGTCATTTTACTTTTTACATTAACAGTGGTTAGAATGGGAGTCTTTTCAGCTTTTCTCTTATTTTAAAATTGTGAAATAAAACTAAAAAAATTCTCAAATTAAAAATACTTTAATTTAAATATTTTTTAAATAGGAAATATTTAATGGATTCAATTGCAATTTCAAAGGAAGAGGATATGGCTCGTCTTCAAAGCATTGCTTTACTTTTACTTGCAAAATTGCTTCGATCAAAGTTTTTAAAATTTTTAAGTTTAATTTTTAATTAATTTTTTTAAAAGAGATGTATTGAATGCTGCTTGTGAATGGGCTAATAAAAGTGGAGATAATTTACTTTTACTTTGGGCTAAATCAGGTTAATTAATTAAATATTTTGAAATTTTAATTAAAAATAATTTAGAAACAAGCTTTTTTGAAGGAGGAAATGAAAAACAGTTGGGAGTAATTAATGAAGTAAAACAGCAAAGAGAACAATTAGAAATTAATAGAAATGCTTGTATTCAAACAAATGCACATAAATTAATGATACAGGTTTGGAAAAATAAGAAAGCTAAAATTTTGATTTTAGTGGACTGGTGGTGAAATACCAAGAGAAGTGTTGAAATGACTGACAAAAAAATTGAAAGAAAATGTTTTGAATATTGTAAATATTTTTTATTATTTTTTTCTTAAATTTTATAATAACAAAAATGAAAAAAAATAAATTAAAAATCAACAAGGTTTATTTCCATTTTGAACAACTACATCACTCCTTAATGGCGAAAAGAATTTCTTATGATGAATTTGTAATCCAGAATCTAGTTCAACAATATAAGGGGCTGGGCTACCAACCTAACAAAAAATTTCTTTCAAATATATTATGTAACGAGAAAAATTTAGCAAAATTTATTTTTTAAATAATTTTAGCCATATTAGAAAAACATTGCAAACATAACCAAAACTACCATTAATATTTTTCAAAATAATTTCTAAGTTCCCTAATTTTACAAAAAAAACTTACATTTGGATCAAAAAGTAACATATCTGGAGTGTTTAAACAATGACCTAAAAATTTTATTTTTAAAAAATCTTTTTTAAAAAACCCCCCACCAACCTAAAGCAAAAACATTAACTTGATGAAGAACTTTTTGTTCAATTGGCGTTAAAACATAAAATAATTTTCTTTGAGGATTTATTGCTCTAATTAATCCAAAACCAAAACATTTAAGCATTGGATGAATATTTCTCTCTAAAGGAATTATTTCTTCGTTAATTTCTCCACCACTAATTGATTCTTCTGTATTTACTTCATCTGAAAGTAATTCTAATCGAGATGGAAGGGAAGAGTCATCCAAAAGATGTTTTTTCTCAAAATTCTGAAAATTTTATTGAAAATAATTTCCTCTAAAAAAATTCTGAATTTTGGAAAAATATAAATGAAAACACGGAATCGAAAATTTTTTGTGAGGAGAAAGGTTTGAGTTTTTCAAAAAAAAAAACACCGAGCAAGAAGTAAAAATAAGATTCCCGAAATAGCCCCAAAGTGAAGCCTTCTCTCAAGCTTTTTATACTTTTTAAATTTTATAGAAAAATTATATGTATTACTCTAATTGTCAGAAAAACTATATAAAATAGTACCCCATTAAAATTATTTCAAAAAAATTCAAAAAATACCCTTTCAAATCCTTCCTCAATTTTACATAGAGCAACAAAAGAACAATTTAAAGCACACAACATTAATTTATCATCTACATATCTAAACTCTGGATGAATATAAATTGAAACTGAACAAAAACGAACACGATAAGCTGGCAAATCAGCAAGTTTTAAAGCTTAAAAATTAAATTTAAAAAAAAATTATTTTTAAATTAACCATTATTTTGATTTCTTTCAATTAAAGCTCTTTCTTGTGTAAATAATTGTGCTAAATAACCGGCCATTTGAAAATTTCGAAGTTGTGCAGAAGTTGGGTGTTTGGAATTTGTGAAACTGTAAAAAGTTTGAAGATTTTTATTTAATTCAAATTAAGTAGAAAAATTCTTGAAGATAAATAATTCCTTTTATTTATATCTTCAATTCTCAGCATTCATTTAACAAATTTACTGATTATCCCCCAAAAAAATTCCTTTCAATTTTTATCCAAAAAACCATTTCCTTTTTGCCTTCTCGTTCAAATTCTATACAGAATTCTTTTTACAAAATACTTACATAGCACTTTCTCTTTTTCTAGTAGTTATTGTAAATCTTCGATAATTATTTGGAATCTAAAAATTAATTTTAAAAAATTTTAGAAAATAAATTACTTGAAAATTAATTTCATTGTTTGTTTCCAAATTTACCAAAAAGTGTGGCTTTACTGTATTTAAAACACGAAGCATTAAATCATAGCCGAGATCTAAAAATTAAATAAAAATTATTTCTCAATTTTTAATTCGATTAAAATCTTCTAAATATTATTTCCAAACCTGTAATCCACCCCAAAGAATTAACAATTAAAACAAAATTATCTTCTTTATTTGAATCCTCTTTTATCATTTTATTAAAATAATCAATTAAATACCCAATTAATTTTATATAATAATCTGTGTCGATTGCTGGAGAATTGGAACCAAAAAATAAAGAATTTGGAAGTGTTGGTAATTGTGAAGTGAAAGGAACACCTTTTTTGAAAAATAATTTTGAAAAAGTTTAAAGAAAAAACAAACCAATTAAGGGCTTTTTAATTTCACATAAAGAAACACATCCAGCTGGGGAAAGTTCTGATTGACCAACATCTGTATCTAACAAAAACACTCTACAAGAAGGCTGTGATGGGTGAAGAAGTGAACTTGGAAATTAAAAAAAAGTTTAAAAAATAATAATAAAATCTAAAGTTTTTTGGGGTCGCTAATCAAAAAATAAAGGTTAAATGAAAATTTATTTTGAATTATTTAAAAACCCAAAAGAAATCCCCAAGCGTTATGCATCCGAAATTATAAATCAAGCAAGGAAAGACATTTTAAATTTAATCTTACAAGAATTTTGGTAAAAGAGGAAACCAAATAATTTAAAATTTCTAAATCAACACCAACAGAATAATTTGACAAGGAATCTCTTTAAAAAATTCAAAAAAAACCCTACTTTGTATTTAATGCATTAATAACAAAACGTGAAGTTGTTGACTTCCCAACACCTTTATTTCCAGATATAAAAGCAATACATTTTTCTATAAAAATTAATTTTAAAAAATATTTAAAATAAAAACAAACTTTCGCTTTCAATAAATCTATATATTTTTTCACAAACAGAATAGTAATCTTTCTCTAAATTTTCTAATCCTTCAAAATCTTTTGTATTCATTTGATCATTTGAATAACATAAATTCATTCCTAATTGAATCCCAAATTGTGGAAATATATTTAGAACATCAGAGGAATTATTCTTAAAAAAAGTTTTTAGGGTTTGCAGAAAATCCGCAAATATCGTCC